GGCAAACCCCTTCCTGCAAAAATTCCTGGATCTGCCCCTGAAAGTTACGTCATGACTCATGATTTTATTATGCCCAATTAACCAGTGCATAGCAGAATATTGTAGTAAAACTAATTGTGTGACAAACGAGGCTATCAACATTGATACAATGTAAACAATACTGTATGGAGATGAACAAGACTTCCACCGTTTTTAATACCTTAAATGACTGTCCAAGTTTTAGAGAAGACCCCAGATTAAACGAAGAGCTGTCATGTTGCTGTACTTGGGATAGATTTGATTGAACAGAAAGAATAGACAAATTCCCTCAAAAGCTCAAGTATCAGAAGCCAATCCAGCAATGGGCAGAGAGGGATTTCTCGGGCCATTGCTTCAGGAATATGGTATGGAGGTGGAGAATGTAAACAAATGTCCCTCGTTACATACTGAGGCCTGGAAATGTCTGGCACTAATGGACTAGGGCCTGACATTTGACATTGCTGGACATGTACTAAAGATATCATTAAAAACACTGAAACCAACAAATCTGTGCCAAATGATGTCTGACATCAAAGAAAAAAATTGAAATGTAATGTTCCGCTCCGACTGCGCTAATGAAGACGAGCATATGCCACATAGTTACATTCTACGAGTGAATTTTTGCCTGGACAGCGGTGCTACGGCCTATTCTTATATCAAATTGGACGGCCAAGTGATCTTTTACGTGCACGCCAATGTGTACATGAGACCTCGTTTCTTTTTGTAATTTTTCAAGAAAGGTTCCCATTTCTCCTAGCCCCTGACCAGGAGAGTGTGCCTGATTGTTCGGTTGGGAAAAAACCCCAACTGATCCTTGATTTTGAAGAAGAGAGGGTCCAAACGAACTCCCCTCCGCATATTTCACACAAATTGAATCATATATTAGATTCAAATATACCTAAGTAAATTGCCAACAAAGCATTAAACCCCATTCCAGATATAAGTCTTTCGATTTAGCTTTCAACTACATGTAGTAAAATCTTTAGCATTTGCCAGAGTCAATAATTGTGAAGTGGACAGTGGTCAGTGGTCTGTGTAATTGTATTGTAGTAAGACCAGTGATCTATCTATAGGGTATTGATTGGTCACATTCCATGTAGATTAACCTAATCTCTATAGCTCATGGTCAACTGAAACCTGGACGTACATGTATATTGATGTTTATTATGGACCTTGAGTATTTTGATTAATCAGTGTTCCAGCCATTACCTATAAATTTGTTTCGGGTAGGGATGTGGGAAGATTAATTTGTTAAAGGGTGGATGCAATAATACAGAATATGTTAAAGGGTAGATATAAACAATACAAAATATGTTAAAGGGTGGGTATAAACAATACAAAATATGTTAAAGGGTGGATATAAACTATACAGAATATGTTAAAGGGTGGATATAAACAATACAGAATATGTTAAAGGGGGTACAAACGATACAGAATATGTTAAAGGGTGAACACAAACAATACAGAATATGTTAAAGGGTGGATATAAACAAAACAAAATATGTTAAAGGGTGGATATACACAATACAGAATATGTTAAAGGGTGAACACAAACAATACAGAATATGTTAAAGGGGTTACAAACCATACAGAATATGTTAAAGGGTGGATATAAACAAAACAAAATATGTTAAAGGGTGGATATAAACAATACAGAATATGTTAAAGGGTGGATATAAACAAAACAAAATATGTTAAAGGGTGAACACAAACAATACAGAATATGTTAAAGGGTGGATATAAATAATACAGAATATGTTAAAGGGTGGATATAAACAATACAGAATATGTTAAAGGGTGGATATAAATAATGCAGAATATGTTAAAGTGGGCATAAACAATACAGAATATGTTAAAGGGGGTACAAACGATACAGAATATGTTAAAGGGTGAACACAAACAATACAGAATATGTTAAAGGGTGGATATAAACAAAACAAAATATGTTAAAGGGTGGATATAAACAATACAGAATATGTTAAAGGGTGAACACAAACAATACAGAATATGTTAAAGGGGTTACAGACCATACAGAATATGTTAAAGGGTGGATATAAATAATACAGAATATGTTAAAGGGTGGATATAAACAATACAGAATATGATAAAGGGTGGATATAAACAAAACAAAATATATTAAAGGGTGAACACAAACAATACAGAATATGTTAAAGGGTGGATATAAACAATACAGAATATGTTAAAGGGTGGATATAAACAATACAGAATATGTTAAAGGGTGGATATAAACAATGCAGAATATGTTAAAGGGTGGATATATACAATGCAGAATATGTTAAGGGGGGGGGGGGTAAACAATATATAATATGTTAAAAGGGGGATATAAACAATACAGAATATGTTATATGATTGCACGCTCGGTAATGATACTGGACTCTCAACTAGAATGTACTGGCTTTGACATGTACTGGCATGTTCCCAGAAGAATCTCACATCTGTGGGACTTACAAGTAAAGTGTAGCCTATTCGTTCGTATGAAAAAAGATAATCATGTCTAACTAGTCAAATGGGAGATTTTACTCAACCTCTTCGCCCAATGCCTTCCCCTTGTAAAGTAAAGATTGTGCCTTTAATCATGGTAATTAAATATCTAGAGGTACTTGAAGTGTAAAGTGATGACCTTGCTTGTACAATGATTTTGAGTATTTTATGAAGTCATAAAGTGTAAGTCAATATGAATAGTATTTAATCATATGACTACTAGACAGTATATTATAGATGTGACACTAATGAAACACTTTAATATAACTTTATATAATCTGACCACTTATTATCTCCCCCAAACCTGGTTTACAAAACGAAATTTCCTCTTCAATCAGATAAGAGAGAGAGAAATGGGGTTTAACATCCACTCGACACAAACTAGGTCATTTCGAGACAAATTTTATTTCAATAATTTGCGTGCGCGTAGGGGAAACTGGAGGACCCAGAAAAAAACCATGCGGTTAGACAGGCGACCCTGCTCCTTGTCTCATACAACCGGGGAATCGAAACCACTCCAGTTGACTCAATGACAGACTTTATGATACAGCATGCACACACTAACCATTCAGCCACCCCCCTCCCCCCCTTCAGTCAGATGATCTTTGTTTATCAAAAATTGTATACTATCATTATAACTATCACAATTGAGGATGCTAGTGCAATAAAGTGGACATGTGTATTTTGTTTTTATATAAGAACATTTGATTTTTTCAAATAAATCCATTTTAAACAGATTTTCTTAACATCTGTGTTCATTTCTATCATCCTGATTCCTCTTATCACAGTTTATGTCAGTTTTAGTGTTCTAGTCTAAAAACTGCAAAAATACTATATTTGGCAGATTTTGTCAAATGGCACTAGTCCAATTTTTGGACTTGTTAAGAAAAGGTTCCTCTGTGTTTTGGTATTTGTGACTATTGAGGCTAGATATGATATTTTGGCCCTTTTTATTCCCCAGTTGTACATAACAAGGAGTTGGGTCGCCTGTCCAACCTCGTGGGTTTTCTCTGGGTCCTCTAGTTTCCTCCCACTGCTAAAGACCCCTATGCGCAAGCGAATTATGGAAATAAAATTGAACCATGTGTTAATCTCGAAATGACCTAGTTTGTGTCGAGTGGAGTTAAACCCCATTTCTCTCTCTCTCTCTCTCTCTCTCTCTCTCTCTCTCTCTCTCTCTCTTGACCTATTTTTCTATGATGTCACAAGATCTCTGTTACCCAACATTGATGAGTGAGTTTGAACATGTGTTCACTCACATCATGTCTTCTCCTGTACTCAAACTGTGAAATACAACAACTGAACATCAATCAAGTATTTAAATCTAAAGGTTAAATAAAACAAGAGGTCAACTTCTCTAGATCAGCTGTTTAAGATGAAAGCATGGGTTTCAGTGTTACACAGTCATTTATAATAACACAAAATGGTAGACATCAGTTGAAGGCTTTATTTCTTATTTCATTTTATATGAAATGATATACAGGAGTTGACAACTCTCAATTTTTATTTCATTTTAAATGAAATGGTAGACAAGTTGGAAACTGTAAATTTCTATTTCATTTTTATGAAATGATAGACAGGGAGTTTAAAAATTTTATTTCTTATTTTCATTTGTATGAAATGATAAACAGCAGTTGAATACTTTAAATTTGTGTTTCAATTGTATGAAATGAAAACATTTATGGTTCCTATGGGCAAATAATAAGACCTTTAAATTGTGCCAAGAGTAGTTTAAGAACTATTTTAAGATATTGATAATTATTTTACAATTTGATCTAGTGTGATGTAGGTTCTGTTGACATATGTCATATATTTTCATGTTGTTGTTCCTATCTTATTCCCATTTATCATGATAATATAAAAGAAAGTTGATATGTCGTGCTGAATGTTATTGACTGTATTAGTGGAAAGTAAAGATTTAAAATGTTTATGACAAGTGAGAATTGGAATCAAGTATTTAGAAATATATTATGTCGGGGGGTTTATGAAGATGGTGTGGTATGTAATTAAGTCTCTGGCATAAACATTATGACATGAAATCAAATGGGATTTAATGTTCTACTTTTTGGCTAATGAAGATGGGCGTACACCTTGCAGGTAAATTTAGCCTGGACAGCAAGTGTTTTGTGTGCTTATCATCAAATTCCTACCTTCAAGTGTTTTCTTATGTGAAGGACAGTGAGTACACAAATGGACCTTGTTTTAATCATCCCATCCGAAACAACTGGACCCTTTTCCTTATAAGGTTCTACTGTATACAAAACATTACCAATATTTCTAAAACATAACGCCTCTGTTTTTCTGACCATGGTGCACCTAAAACATTTACCAATATTTATAAAACACATTGAACACATTCAGATTTCAATACACTCAAACATTCATTCAAAAAAACAAGGAAAATAACAATCAATCTTTGGTACATCATCTAGCAGTAGATTATAGCAATATTAACTTAATGTATTTATTATATTTTTCAGGTGCGACATCTTGTAGGGTTTTGTTCGTGTCCGATTCAGTTTCCCATGATAAAAGTTGGAGATGGAAAATATCAAGTTGGTGAATCAAGAACACTTATCTTTGTCAGGGTAGGTTTTATAATTTTTAATCTAATAAACTATAAGGGTATACCTATGGAAGAACAATTACTCATTTATTTTGGCCAAATTCCGAAGAGTATTCTCTCAGTGTTTCAGATAAGAACCTTTAATTGGTTTTAATCTGAAAACATGCAAGGCAGTTTGTCTAGTTTTGTGGTTTTGACACTGGTTTCGCGTTGGCAAATTCCCTCATGACCACAATATTAGAATGGGTCACACTGTCACTGTATGGGTGAAATATTCGTCATAGCACACTGCATGGTATATGGCTGGATGAAGCAGAACAGTAGGATATTAAACCCGATTTCAGTTCATTTTACTCTCACAAATCTGCAAGCAATCTGGTTTGGAAATACCGATGTAGTCAAGACAAATAAAAATTATTTTATAACAAAATGACGAATGACAAACATCTCAAAAGCACTTAGATAAGATTTAGAATGTTATTTCATACCAATTATTGACAGAAGAGATAAATAAAAATCATCTAAAATAAATAGAAATCACCATTGTAAAGATATGTCCTTTTTCTTTATTAAAGGGGGACAATTCCATTTATGATATTGTGGAGGCAGACCACCATTAATTTCCCCATTGACTTCAATGTTAATTCTGGCCTCTTTGCCCACCTCCAACTTTTCCCCAAATTTTTGTTGGGCTGAATGCTTTTCACTACAGACAGAGGAACAAATGGTCATGTCTTTGCACTAAAATTTGTATGAGGTTGACCACCAAAATTTTGAGATACACAAACTTGAAGAAGCATACTAAAAACATGTAATTAGTTGCTGTACATATCGCCGTAGCTAACCTGATAACCCTCTTATCCTTCCGCCTCAAAATCATGAATATTTACCAAAACCTGGCAGAAAATGTTAATTCAAAACCTCTTCGTCCATTCTAGACCAAAAAATCAACAAAAATGGGCATGCAAAAGGGGAGAAAAGAGAGAGAGAGAGAATTGCTATAAATAGACGAACTACAATTCGTGGGTACCGAGATGATGAAATTTAATGGTGGTCTGCCTCCTATATAACACTAATTCTTGCAAAAATGCTAGGATGGTTCCACAATCATTATTTTAGCATTGTGACTAGAAAGAGAGATGGAGAAATGGAGAGAGAGAGCTTTAACTCCAATGGAAACAAACTAGGTGATTTTGGGACTAATGTCTGGCTCAATTTTATTTCAATAATTCATTTGAGCCCAAGTTTGGACAGGTGACCCTACTCTTTGTCACCAACAAGTGGGGATTCGAAACCATGCCACAGGACTCAGCAGACCAAGCGGTTCACCTGTCCATCCTCTTGGTCCTCGGTCTCCTCCCATAGCTAAAGACCACTAGACACAAGCAAATTATTGAAATAAAATTGAACCATATGTTAGTCTTAAAATAACCTAGTTTGTGTCGAGTGGGCGTTAAACCCAATTTCTCTCTCTCTTTATCTTCAAGACCTTGTTATATAGCTAGCCACTTGAATCTCCTTATCAATGTTTTGTGTAAAATTCCAAAATTTGGAACAAAAAGATTTTTTTTCCCTGAGGAAATAGAAAACCAAATTTTGAAAACCTTTTTTCTCTCAGCTAAAAGAGATACCGAAGAATAAAATCGGTCCAGAGCCAATCTGGTTGAAAAGAAGTCACTCATTCAACAAAGACACATAACCGAAGGATGATGGTCCTACCCGTTCAGTTAATACAACAGACAATCTCACTTTGGTCCACAAAAGAGAGACACATACTGTCAAACTAAAATGTTGCACTGAATAAATCAGATCGTTGCTACAATTATTATCTTGTCAACTACTAAATGCCGATGCTATACTTAAGACCTCCACCACTACACATGAGTACATAATATATTTGACATATTTCCAGATTTTACGGAAGCATGTTATGGTTCGAGTTGGCGGTGGTTGGGATACGTTAGAGAGGTATCTGGACAAACATGACCCATGTAGATGTCATTATCCAGGTGAGTTGTATAATCATCATTGATTAATAACAATAAGACCAGCCATTGCATGCCATATTACAATTTCCCACCCTAATTGTTGTTTCCTTATACTAGTTATGTTAGGGGATTGGACATAATGCCAAAGTACATAATGTGCACAAACAGAATGGCACAGGGAAGTGTTATCACAAGATGTAGTTTTGAATGTATGTCCCCAAGACTCAATGCATACAAGAATCTTGCCCACACAGGTATTTGAACCCAGGAGATTCGAGTAGAGAGTCCAGTGCCCTTACAAATCGACTATCATGGCCCCCACACCAGAAACACTACCCCTATCTAACAAGAACCTAGCCAACTCCAGGATTCACCCCCAGGACGTTCCAGTATCCTCACGACTCGACCACCATACCCCCACTCTAAAAGAAATTGACCTTTTAATATATTATAACTTATTGATGTAGCAGCATGTCTCTAGATACTCAAGGACATACTCTAACCTCCTGTATAAAAGTTAAGATGAAATATTATATGTATTCAAACCCACTAGTACCAGTAAATTAAACATATTGAGATAAAATGAAAGTAGGGTGAAGTGTGTAAAATGCAGTGAAGTGTGTAACCAAGGTTACAGTGGATGGGTAATTTACATATAAGTAGTAATTGATCTTTTTGAGCTTGGTTATTGATGAATTATTTAAATTTAGTCTGTTTTACATAAAATTCAGTTAGACTTACTGGTGAGGGGGCCAACCATTGAATCCGAGTTACTGAATTTGGGTCGTGATATGTGACCTTGTGGTGCCAACGATATTAACTGACAGTTAGATAACTTGTTGGTGCGACTGGTACTACATGGTAAAATGTCAGAGATGAACGAAGAAAGCTACATTTTAGTATCTTTGATAGGAACGCCTATAGGGCCTTGTTTCTCAAAATCTTAACTAAAGATAAAATCCAAATTTTAGTAGATACTTCAATTTTGATTAGCTAAGCACTTAAATCAATCTAATATTATCCAATCAAATCACTACAATTTGGATTTTATCTTAGTTAAGATTACGTGAAACAGGTCCCTGTTCTTTTAACTAAGTGTCCTTGATACTAGGGGTGGGGGTGGGTTGGGTGGCCGAATGGTTAGTAAGTGTGCGCTGTATCATAAGGTATGTCATTTAGTCAACTTGCCTGGTTTCGAATCCTCGGTTGTATGGACAAGGAAAGGAGTAGGGTCGCCTGTCCAACCTCGTGGGTTTTCTCCGGGTCCTCCGGTTTCCTCCCACTGTTAAAGACCTCTACGCCCAAGCGAATTATTGAAATAAAATTAAACCATATGTTAGTCCCAATATGACCTAGTTTATGTTGAGTGGATGTTAAACCCAATTTCTCTTTCTCTCTCTTTCTCTCATATTGATATGCTTTTGGAAGATGAAAATTAATTTGTTTCGTAAGTAAATCACATAAGATTATATTGTTATCTATTTTCAGGACATAGACCCACTACACCTGGAAATCCAGGTCAAAAATCTCAAACTCGAAGAATGAGTACACCAAATGTCGGTCCAACAGCAAACAGCATTACCTCCCCTAGACGTATGTCAGCAGCCAACACAGCACAGAGCACGCCCAATAAATCATCCAGTTCGAACGCCCGGAGCAAGTCAACAAGTCCAGGTTCACGAAGATTACCCAATTCACAACTTTCAACGATTCCACAAAATTCTGAAACATCCCAAAATAATGTTCGATCTCTGATGAGTCGTAGAAGTCATTCTCCAGGACCCATTCCTAACAGAAGCCATTCGCCAGGACCTGGAGTTGTTCCCCCTTCCAGGTCCCTACCACAGACCCCAGGTAAACGTAATGGTGTAAGAAGATCATCTGGTACATGTTCACCAGCCCCCAGTAAACCCCAGCCTCTCTCTGTCAGGTAATACTTGATTTCATTTTTTAAATGTGGTCGTATATTGTCGTTGCCCACCTCTGTCCATCCTTCCAATTGCTTGAGCGCTCTAAAGGCTAAAGTTGTTATCCGATTGACTTAAAACTTATACATCTTGTTTAGAATCATGAGACAAAGTATCCTATTGATTATGGCCCTTTGCCACTTTGAAAAATCTTGTGGATGCTCTAGAAGCTAAAGTTATCTTCCGTTAAGTGATTTCTGATCAAAACTGCCAGAGGTATGACCCTTGGTCATTTTGAAAAATTTGACTTTAAATTTATTCAAAGTGTTTAAGGTTTTGAGATGAAGAATCCTACTGATTTTTAGCAATTTCCTATAATTTTAATCAAATTATATTTATTTGTGATAATTACTTAATGGCTTGTTACTCTTGATGAGTTCGGAATGTCTTTTAAACTCCTACGTTACCTTCGAAACAATAAATATTCGACAACCCTTGTGGACTGCTAGGACGACTTAGCTGCTGTGGACATAGGTTATGTTGCCTGGCAACCTATCTTTATCTGTTTCAAGAAGAAAGATTTATTTTGTAAGGGGGACCACATTTGTTGTTTAGTTAGGATGCTGGACTAGCAATTACAATGTTCAGGTTTATGAGCCTTCGGGAGTTTCATACCTGAGTACCAGTTAGGACTCTGGACTGCCAATTCCAAAGTCCATAGTTTAGAGCCTTCAGGATTTCAGTCCCACATCCACTTGCATTTTCGACAATAAAACATTAATTTATAAGAGGGAGCACTATGTTTGCATGGTTACAACACTGCACTGTTAGAAGGATTGTGTCAAATCTGGTCCAAGAATATTGGGAAGACATGACGTACCCAATAAATTTAGGTCGCTTTGACCAAATAAATTTGGGTGGTAATGACCGAAAATTATTGGGTCAGAGCGATCCTAAAAAAATATTGGGTCCTTCATGTCTGTACCCAATATTGTTGGGTCAAATTGAGATGGGTCGCTCTTCGTAGGGGACATTTGCGTTTCAAGAGATGCAAAATGTGATACGCGGCCTTGGGATGTAAGGCAAGACTGGAATAGAAAAAAGGCTTTTTATTTCAATATGTGAAAATATTATAGTATAGGATAGGACATGGTAGCTTCCTCTTGGTGTGTTTAAAGGTGGTCTGGCTGTGGTAGGCTCATTGATAATCACTTGGAACACTGGTGCTGGTAGGTCACCGTCCACTGACTCAATTGAAAATGCAAGTATGGTGATGGTGGCGATGATGGCGACCCGGGTTCATCCTCGCGTTTAGGAGAAGCCTACTTTTTACCACATTTCTCTTCAGGCTCTTGGTCTGGAAATGAATAAAAGAAGTAATATCACTTATCAGATACTTGCTAAAATTAAGAAGATAATTATTTCTATTTGCTACGCACAGTGGGTGAGGCTATTCATTTCAAGATACTGTAATCTTGTTGAAGATATGGCGTTAACTTATGAACAATCAATAACAGGCCTATCTAACATGTGATCACGGCTTTCATTAAATAAATCGTATAGATCTAGATTTACCAAATCTTAACAGACACAAAAATTAATTGTGAAAGTGAAAGTTAGAAATTACGATGTTGGGGATTAAAAGGATTCAGAATTTTCCAACCCCGGTTCCGTTTGTTGGGAGTAATATGTTCATAGTTGACTGCAATGAAATGAAATGGGGTTTAATGGCCTGCTGTTCTTCTCTGACTGGGCAGTGAGGGAAACTTTGCCCGGACAGTGGCGCTACAACCTACTCTTATATGGAATTTCAACTACCAAGAGTTCTTTTACATGCACGCCAATATATATACACAGGACATCAGGTCTGACAAGGAATGTATGGATGGTTAGGACACATGACTAGCAATAAGAATTTGTCCAGGTTTTAAAGTCATTGGTAATACTGTAAAAGATAAAGTTCTCTGGTTATAAGTCTTAAATGAAACAAACACTGTATTAGATGTATAGCAAGTTTATATATTATTATATCTTTTCATAATCAGTGAAAATTTCAATTATTCTAGCCTGTTCATGAAAATTAAAATTAAGATTGCTCTATCTCTACATTAAAATGTTTGTATGATTTATATAATTATACAATTCAATTAGGCAAACAGAAAGAGAAAAATACTTGTTTTGTAATAAATTTGAAATAAATTTTGGTCGGTTACATAATTACCATAATTTGTTTTGTTGGAGAGATATCTAATGTTTTTATTACTACCAGATTAATTAATTATCATTGTTAATTAATATTGCCTAATTATAGTCACTTAATTAAAATACCTTTATATTTGGTACAGATCTTTAATTGGTTAATACCTAATCAAATTGTTAAACTCTATGGGCTCCCGACTAAGTCAGAGTTTATCAACATAGATCAAATTTATTCTTTGGATGATTAAATATCATTTTATTTAACTAGACTGCTTGTGTGTCTTTGTTTAATCTTGTACATGTCTGAACAGATTCTAATATTTACTGTGGTATATGACACTAATATATCACACTCCATAAAGAGGCTAACATGCATTATAGAAGGATATACCACACTAAAGTTTAAAACACATTGGACTAACTACCTATATTGATCTACTCCAGTGGTGAATATATTCTTTCAGAGGATTTTTCCAAAATGGTATATTTTCAATTTATTTACCAGTTTGTGAAATATTTAATAGACCACATCTAAATTATAAATAATGTTTTTTGGTGATTATTTACCAGTTTGTGAAATATTTAATACACCACATCTAAATTATAAATAATGTTTTTTTAGTGATTGTACTAAGTGCTTATTTTTTAAATTCATATACGCGATAATATACCATGAATTATAGTGAGTATGCAGGCAGTAATATTTGAAAAAAAACCAGATTATTTCATGAAATTAAATGTTAATGAATTTAAAACAATATTTCATTTATTAATTTACAAATAAATAATATTTAGGATATGTGAGATAAATGTAAGGAATATGATAATGGTTTTTACAAAGAGAATTTTGAGGTGGCATTTCTCATGTTTTGAGAGAGAGAGAGAAATGGGGTCCACTTGACACAAACTAGGTCATTTCGGGACTAACATATGGTTTAATTTTATTTACATAATTCGCTTGGGCGTAGGGGTCTTTAGCAGTGGGAGGAAACCGGAGGCCCCGGAGAAAACCCACGAGGTTGGACAGGCGACCCTACTCCTTGCCACGTACAACCGGGGATTCGAACTCATGTTTTGAGAATGAGTTCATTATGTATTTTTTTAGGCTGTTTTAAAAATAATAGGGTATATGTTAATTTAAATATATTTTAAAAATAATAGTAGAGTATATTGTATTTAAACATATTTGATAACTCATACTTGAGAAGGAGACGGCCATGTATTACAGTATGCTAAAATCTAAAATTAAAAACTTGTGGACACTGGTGAAAATGTTCTTTTAGAGATTTTATTAAACGGTATATTTTAGATTTAATTAGAAATTTTTAAAGATATAAAATCTTTCCATTTGTTACATTTGTAGCTACCATGCATTAAAGATTCCCATGGTAAATTTAAAACTTGTGGAATAGATACAATCTTATTAAGATGTTTAGTGGGGAAATGATCTTTTAGAGGATTTTATTAAATGGTATAATTTAAATTTAATTAGAAATCTATAAATATAAAATCTACGATATTTCTTATCGTATCTACATGTACCATACTGGTAGTCAATCTTACATCTTGTATTTGAAATGGGGGGGGGGGGCAAATGGCTTAACATGTGCGTGCTAGATCACAAGGCCTGTGGTGAGGTTTCGATTCCCTGCTTATACGTGGCAAAGAGTAGGGTTGCTTATCCAATCTCATGTTGCCTCCCACAGCAAAAGACCTCTACACGCTGGTGAATTATTTAAACAAAATTGAACCATATGTTAGGTCTGAAATGACCTAGTTTATGTCGAGTTGACGTTAAACTCCTTTTCTCTCTCCCTGTATGTTAAATAGGATGACAGTCAGTGTTACCGCAATACATCGGATATATCTAAAACCAGGTTGGAAACTACGCATTTGTTTTTTTCACAAATTAATATAGTTTTTTGATGTACCTAATATTGAATTCTTTGATCATTTGAAATATTTGTAAATTTCGTGTTGATAATTTAAACAATTGGCATCTATAAATATTTTATTTTATTGCATTCTCCATTTATCTAATTGATTGAGTGAAGACATGCAATAATCTTGTTCTTAAAGTTCTCTGTACTAAACTGTATAATATTTAAAGGAGGTAAACCACATGGTTTCGTTTTCCCGGTTGTACGTGACCAGGAGTAGGGTCGCCTGTCCAACCTCGTGGGTTTTCTCCGGGTTCTCTGGTTTCCTCCCACTACTAAAGACCCCTACGCGCAAGCAAATTATAATTGAAATAAAATTAACCATATGTTAGTCCTGAAATGACCTAGTTTGTGTCGAGTGGACATTAAACCCCATTTCTCTCTCACTCTCTTTTAACATTAGCTATATTTTAAAGACATAAAAGACAGTTTATCATTGAATAAAACTGATCATCATAAAAAAATCCTCTGAAATCGATAATTTTATTTTTGATTTAATTCAAAGAGATTTTGTAACTTTTGTAAAGGAAATCTAAGTAACTTTCAAACATGAAATGTTTTTATCTTGGTGTATAATTATGTGTTTTTAATGGTTGTAATTTTTTCAAACTCTTTGAACTGAAATTGATTCCAGTACAGAGGACCTGGCAAGTAACTGTCTAGTCGTGGAGATGGGACAATAAAAACCCTGAAGATCCATGTACACCTTAATGTGCACGTAAAAGATCCCTTGACAGCTGTAATACAATTTGCCTCCATAGAACATTGCATGGCGCACGCCCGTCTTCATTAGCCTTATCCCGGTTTCTCAAAAATTATTAACATCAGTTTCAATACAAAAGCCCCTGCTTCAAATAATTTATAAAAAAACTTTCTTAAATATTTAAATCATATATTTGAAATTATGAAATAACCGTTTTCTGGGGGGGGGGGGGGTTATTATTAAATTGAAATGTGGTTTTAATTGTGTAAGATGAGAATTGATAACCAGTGTAGATATTCATGTGTTGACAGTGAAGATTTTTTTATAGTATGTGCTGTTCTTACAGTAGCCATATTATTATTAACTCATTAAAAATAATACAACCATGTCGAGTCTTTGTATGAAGTTAAATCATATTATATTAGGACCATCTACACACTTGAATCTTACAAACCTCTACATTTTGCATATACAATGTGTGAAAACTCTAATTTTTAAATTGGTTGACTACCAAAATAACCTTTGTTTACAGTAAGTGATGTTATAGATAGATAACCAATGGGTATTATTCAAGAACATTTGCAGGTATCGGAGCTTAAACTGTTAGAATTTCTAAAATTAATATGAAATGAAATGAAATGGGGTTTAATGTCCTACTGTTCTTCAAGTCATTCTTCAAGTTTTACTTCAAGAGAAATGTTAGCTTAACCCTGACTGATAGCGACCTGTATTGGATTAGGTTAAGCTTGGATTAAGATGGATTTAGGAAGGTGTGTATAGATCGTACAGCCAGGTTATTAATAAAGATAATACCTGTAGTACACCTATAAAATTAAACACCTACTACTACAACAGGTAATATTGTCAATATATGATCAAACATGACTATAGTATGACCAGTCAGGAGGTTTTGTTATTAGATAGGCGCAGGAGACTCACAAAGAATAGGTATAATATGATAGGTAATACTGTATGAATAGTCAGACATCATCACTGTTACAGTTGTTGTTAATATAATATCATTAACTGTATGACTAGTCAGACATTACCACTAGTAGAGTTGTTAAAATAATATCATTAACTGTATGACTATTCAGAACCACTGTTAGAGTTGTTGTTAAAATACTACCATTTACTGTATGACTGGTCAGTCATTACCAGTACTGTTAGAGTTGTTGTTAAGATAGGTGCAGGAAACTCACAACTCACATGGGTTATAATATGGACACAGGTCACCAATAATTTTCCTATTGACTTTAATGTTAACTCTCGTCTTTTTGACCAGCTGTAACTTTTACCCAAATTCTTGTGGGGTTGTATGCATTCCATCAAAGATGGAGCGATATGTGGCAACCTCTTGCTCAAAAGCAGGTATGGGCTTCACCATGGAAATCTTGAGATACAAAAACTGGAAGTAGCATATGCATCAACATGCAACTTTCCGCCCTACATTTCAGCATAACCAACCTCTTAACTCTCGTATCCTTCTGCATCAAAATCATGAATATTCATCAAAAACTGGCAGAAAATATATATTCAAACTATTTTCTCCACACCAAAAAGTCAACAAAAATCGCCATGCAGAAGGGGCAAAACGGGAAAGTGAGAGAAAGACTAAAAATAACTTTGGCCCTTGTTTCGTGGGTAACCAGCGTAGGAATATTTGGTGGGCTGTGTCAATATGACTGGTAACCAGCGTAGGAATATTTGGTGAGCTGTGTCAATATGACTGGTAATACCATTAACTGTATGACTGATCAGTCGTTTTCGCTGTTAAGAAATTTTTTTTTTTTTTTAAACAATATTTTAATCAGATTTTGAAAGAGATTGAGTTGTTGTGAATACTTCGGTACTGGCCTCTAGAATGTCCCAGGAAAGGGTGCCTAGTTGTTTGGATATGTAATTGAATCCTTTACAGGTGGAGGTACTGCTGTCTGTGCAAAATTCCCTCCCTTGCATTGCATGTTTATTCTTCCAAATGACCGAAGCATTGTGTTGATGAAGCTTTAAAACCTATTCAATTCCACTTTTTGTAAATATAATAATATGAAGAGCTTAAATTACAAAAACACGATAAGACTGTTTTGAATTGATTCCTTGTTTCTCCTTGCCTGCTTGCTTAGGTCAAGAACCCCAAAAATCGTGCCCATACCTTTTTAAACAGCTCAAAATATATTTAAAAAATTACATTAAAAAATGCTTAAAAAATCTACCTATCATCAGAGAAGACATTTCTCATTGTATTTATGCTCGATACAGCTAAAAATGTTGATAATACACATGTAGGGGCCCACATACTGTGGAATAAGTAACACTGTATTTTATAGTTTGAATTAAACACCTATTTCTATAGGAATTGTGTCTGTATGGGAAGTGATATCAGGTGTTCTATAAATAGTATGCATACCCTGCCTTGTACTCAACACCCATCACTACGTGATGATACATAAAGCGATAGTTTGGGCCTGGATTTCAGAAGCTAAAGAAGAGTCTATTTGTGTCCACTGCTCAATTTGCTATCTTCCTGACCATAAAAATGTCTCATGCACATTAGAATAAACACTTAAATCATTTAACACCAACTATTGACCATTGTTAAAATACACTTGTAATTTGTAAAGAACTATCATACACCTTGGTAACATCATGATCTTATTGATATAGTCAAATACACAGTCTTTATTCACTGTTACCTTAAAAATGTTAATAGAGAATGTTGTATTCATTGATTCTTCATCAGATAATTGACTAAGGGTCCTATTTCCTTCTCTCATTCCGACCTCGTGGGTTTTCTCCGGGTCCTCCGGTTTCCTCCCACTGCTAAAGACCCCTACGCGCAAGCCAATTATTGAAATAAAATTAAACCATATGTTAGTCCCGAAATGACCTAGTTTGTGTCGAGTGGATGTTAAACCTCATTTCTCTCTCTCTCTCTCTCTTTCTCTCTCTCTCTCTCTCTCTCTCTCCCCTTCTCTCCTTCTCTCATACTTTATGGAAATAAATAAAATACAAATTTGGATGATAACTAAAAATGTCTAATTCTAAATTTCTATTATTAATCATCATGGGGAATGAAACCCCTATCTATCAAAACAACAGTTAAATATTTCATTTAAAACAATTTGACCCAGAAATTTATTAAATTAATCAATTTGAAATTAAGTTACATCCATTTCAAGTTCAAATTGGTCTCTACTGATTTCAACCTGCCATCTTTATATGTCCTAAGTAAATAAAGTAATATTATTTCTGTTATTTATTTCGTACATGTCAGTCAGTCCATTCTTTATAAGAAAAGAATTATTCAATTATTCATAATACATATATTTGAACTTTTGAGATGTGTTTAAACACATAATAACAAGTTTTTACATTAAAATATTTTGAAACTTTTAAAATAAATATGACCAATCTGACTATTTGTGCCTTTAAAAGTGAGAAATTTAAAATTATTAAAGATGGTTGTCCTTGTGAACAATTTGAGGTGTTGTGCCTTTAAATCTGAGAAATTCAGTATTGTCAAAAGAAGGCTGTTGCTCTTCATATATTTATGTGAACAACTTGGCATGTTGTGCCTTTAAATCAGAGGGGGGTTGGATGGCCGAATGGTTAGCTCGCACATGCTGTATCATAAGGTCTGTCATTGAGTCAACTGGCGTGGTTTCGATTTCCCGGTTGTACTTGACAATGATTAGGGTCGCCTGTCCAACTTCGTGAGTTTTCTCCGGGTCCCCTGGTTTCCTTCCACTGCTAAAGTCCCCCTACGCGTAAGCGAATTATTGAAATAAATTTGAACCTAGTTTGTGTCGTGTGGACATTAAACCCCATTTCTCCCTCTCCCTTTAAATCTTGAGAAATTCTAAATTAAAGGAAGACTGTTGCCCTTAATAAAAGTTATAATTGTATTTTATTGGGTTTGTTGACACGTACTGTATTATTGGTATGTGTTTATTACGTTGGTATTCTCGCATATACTGATATGGTTACTAGGATTTCTTATAAACACATTTAAGTCAATAAAATATTTAAGGATATTTTTGTATACATGGTTCAGATTACTCAGATCCTATTGAGGACATTTTAAAAGTCAACAAACATTTTTAAATGATATAGATATTTTATGATGTATGTTTTTTTTTAATCTAAAGTATATATCTTATGTCAGTTCATACATTGGAGCAAGGAATAAGTATTGTAAAATTGAATTTAAAATTTGTCACAAACGAAAAACCTGTATAAAAAATTGTACATAATGAGTTTCTAATTTATGTGAATTTAAACTTAAAACTTTTCTCTTTTTAGATCCAGTAATACCAACAGAGTTCCAAAACGACAGAAGTCTTTAGACGCCATAGAAACAGACGACATGGAGACGGAGAACGGTGAAAAGATAACTCTTGATGAGATAAAAACAATGACCTTGGAGGATTTTAAGAATCTCCTCAACTCTGCTCTTTCAGTCCCCACAAACCCCACATCCCAGTGTTCTGATTCCCCGCGATCCCAAGAAAGTTCAGACAGTTTCAGAAATCAAACTAAAACATTTGTGCGCCATGCGAAAGACTCCGAAAAAGGACCATCTTGGAGAAGTGTGCGTGAGAAAGCTCGAAATGTCTGTGATTCTGCTTCAACGAGAAATTACCAAAGGAATATGAATAATAATAATTCTCATAATAAAGACAATTCTAGACCCAAGACCCCTACCTCCAACTATCGTCCTAAAACCCCCACATCAGGAATAAAGTCTGCCTATTCTCGCCCTATAACGCCTACTAGTCGTCCTAAAACCCCATCGTCATCAGCACGATCTAGTGAAGAAGATTTAACTTACCGAGGTTACATCAGACCCAGAGCTCCATCTAAAGCATCTTCATTTTCTAGTCTTGATGATGAGGATGCTGCAGAGGTAGCTGATATAAATGGTTGTGGACTTTCTCGCAGCTCTAAGGAATCTTCTCCTGCTGAAAGTGTGGACAGAAATCCGCCAATGAGGTCTCGTACACCTGGAATATCTGGTATCCCACGACCGTCGACTCCTTCAGGAATTCCAAGATCAATAACTCCAGCATCATCTTCAAAACCTTCAACCCCTTCGATGGCACGGAAGCATAGCCTTCCAGATGGAACTCAGAGACGTGTATCTTTGACCAGACCCACCACTCCTTCTGAGAAACCTGACAAAACTTACACAGGAATGTACCAAGCTAGAAGATCAAAAACTCCTGGCCCAAATCAAGAGAGATCCTATATTCCTGGTGGAAATAGATCCATAACCCCTGGTCCAAGAGAATCTTGGTCAAAGCCCCCTGTCAGTGGTAGCAACCAAGCGGATGGTGAGCGAAGAAATAGAACAGTTTCTCGAAGTCTAGATTTTAACAGACAAAGATCAAAAAGTGTTGTAGATGTTCGATTAGATGAGGAAAGTCCCTTAACAGTAAAAAGTGATCAGATCAAAGATGCTGCTGCAGCTGCTAGCGAAGATTCACGATCAAGAATGAAGAGTAAGATCCTTGCTCTGGCAGAGAAGAGGCAAAGATCCATAAGCACTGGTCCAAAGAAAAGTCAGGACTCAGCAGACAAGAAAACAGTTCTGATGATCACCAGAGGCAAAGGTGGAGGTCATTCAATAACAGTGGAAGATAATGGAGAGACAACATACAAATCTGGCTGTCCAGGAACTCCAAAAGCTAATAGAGCTTCACTGGTCAATGGTAATGCTGAAAGGTATCGCCAAAGATCCAAAACACCAGATCCCAGGTTGACCAATGCTAGAACCAGAAGTGTTGAACCAAGATCTATTATGGCAAGACGTAATTCTGATGAACCTTCAGCACAGTCTGTGAGCAAGAGATTGGAAGCATGGGTCGATTCAACTGTAAATGAAAATAAGCGTAAAATACCTCCCAGACCCAAACGCTCTATGACGCCAAATTCTCTTGAGTTCACTGAGAAGGACTTGGAACCAAGACCATTTGAGGAGATAAAAGCTGCACTGGAAAAACCTGTCAATGGAGTGGTTGAGGATCAAACTGTTCTAGCACCTCCTCCTGAGGATCCCGAAATGTTCATGAAAATGGAAAAACTTTTTGCTAAATATCGTGAAATGGAACTTCAGGCATCTGAAAGTCAAATTCCTGGAATGAGTTCTCTTGCTGTTGATGTTGTTGATCATGAAGGTGATGTTTTAACAAATGAATCGACAAGTATTTTATCTTCCAAGTCAAACTCTTCACCATCCTGTCCCTCTAATAACTTTTCATGGACAAACTCGGGAAGTTCAAGGTCTAGTGGTTCACCTGGACCATCAGCAGCAGCTGCTAAAAATGCTGCTAACCTCCATCTTCACCAAAACATGACATCGACTCCAATTGCCAACTCTACAGAGCCCAAGTTAGGGCTGGAAGATCTAAACTCTAGTGCTGCCTTGGTCTCAAAAATGAAAGAGGTTTTAAAAGTTCGTCCCCGAACTGAACCAAAATCAGGACCCAGGACACGGATTCCTGCCCCAGCAATGGTTAAAAATCAGAGATCTAAATCAATCACTAATTTGAATCTAAGTTATGATTGTGCTGCATCAAATGAATCTAAAACAGACACTGACAGTGCATATGAACAATCTGTGACAGAATTCTCTGAAGATACTGATGAACTGTCCGAAGTTTCTCAATTAACAACGAAATGTTGTGACGATTCTGTGTTGGATGTTAATCGGTGCAAAACCCCTGTTCCTAAATTAGCGACTCCACTAACAACGGGTCGATCCACTGTTATCAGCAACACAAACTCGACTTCAAGGCTGGTTCGTGCCGTGTCTCAGGAACCTGTCGATCACAGTCGGTCAAATTCTTTGTCTTCGTTATCCAGTCGTTTATCTTTATCCAATGCTGATGATGATATGGACTATGTGTGACAAACTGCTGGATTTCAAATATCTAAATGTGCTAATACTAATCGTGATATCAAATAGAAATGATTAATATATATATTGCATTTAATCGTATATACCAGGTGATGATGTTTGTGTTTGTGAAATTTTTTAAACTTTCATGTTCAGGCTTTTTGTGTTCAGCATTAGAAAATTTAAAATATTTCTTAATGATGTATTATACAAGAGCTAAATCTGCCTATTGCAGGTCTTTCTTTAGGCCTTAAATGTTATCTCAATTATTAATTAGACATTAATTAACATGGCAAGACCATAATCAACTCTCGATGCCATCTGATGGGTCTTATTTTTTATTAGATTTGAATCCAATCTGCAGTTCTATGGCTGTTGATGATTAACCATAAAAATGGATAATCAAGACTTTGTTTATTATCGTAACAATGGTAACAATGACAATCAAGGCTACAGTGTTTTTTAAATTACCGGTAGTATTTCTCGGCTCAGAGTTAAATAATTTGACTGAAATCATCTGCATATTCCCGTTCTTTACCTAATCTTCAATAATGCCCATTTAAATTTTCACATTTCAAATAACCAGAATTCTCTAAAGTCTAAACCCATTTTCTACAAAATTCATGCTTGATCCTGTTTTTACTAAGGTACAATCTGACTTGTATTTTAATCAAAAATGAATTATAATAGACATTACTCTATCATAAACTTAGTTGGTATCCATACTTCAGATCTGATCATTTTTTTTATGACTTGTTAGGGTTTGGTTTAAGTAAATTCAAATTATCCAGTTTATTAGTAAACATTTTTTAGGCTAAACCAATCTATTTTTTTAGGCTAAACCAATTTACTTTTTAGGCTAAACCAATTTACTTATTAGGCTAAACCAATTTAATTTTTAGATTTTTTGGGATCTTGATAAATAAAAACATATTTGTTTCTTGTGAACAATATTTTGTTTAAAATTTCTAAATTTTAAATTTTAAACTAAAACCGTTTAAGAAGATCAGCCGAATATATATTTTGTTTATACATTAGGTTTTTTTTCGTCAGAAGAAATAGAAAGCAAAATTCTTAATAGATTTTTCCAAAGAATACAAATTCAAATAGGTGAGGCTTTATGATGGTTCAGTGTTTAAATATGAAATTTGATTTAAAAATACACAATAAAATAGGCCTGTGTATTGATGCTATGTCTATTTAATATGTCCTAGTTTATGATATTTATTACTATGCATTTACCCACTGTCTACCTGTGGTATATTATATATATGTAATAATATTTATCCATTATATTAACAGGTGCTTGTTTAATTACATACATATATACTGTAAGAAGTTAGTGTTAGTCTCAGATTTATAGTGTGAATACGACTCTAAACATCATTCTTCATATAAATAGAAGTTCAAGCCAGGCCTCTTGTTTAGATCATGTTAGCTGGTCTTGACAGGATGGCAATGAAAATGACCAACATGAGAATTTAACTGTCAGTCATTTTACAAGCCATAATTTAAGTCATTTCAAAGAATTTAAACTTAGAACACTGTTAAATGTATAATTTTTATGTGTAACAGCTCATCAGAATTGAATTATATAATTGAAACAATGCTAGTAATTTTAAAATTATTTGATATGCGAAAAATTGGCTGGCAGGTTAAATGTTAAATGGAGAGTGACACCTTCTTTCTACTCTCCTTATAAATAGAGTTATATATCAACCTCCATTATGTGTGCGAATATATGTTCATTTGCCTTTTTAATATCTTAAAGCAATACTGTCATGAATGGCGATAAATTTATATTTTTTGTTCCATTCATAAAATAAACAAGTTCTGTTTTCATTTACTTGTATATGACTGTAGCTAAACCTTTCAAGCTGAAATTAATGTCATGAAATAACTCCTTACATTTATTTTTGTCCTTCTTTTTTTAGTAATAATAATTTTTTATTCCGTCCATTTTGTTTTTAAGGCCATATTTTAGTTTGTAGATTAGAGCAGTTAAATAACAAATAGATTGGTTTAATCAAAGACACTTTATCTTATTGTCAATTGTTATTAAAATCAATTGATTGGATTCTGTCGGCATAGAAGATCCCAAATCCCAGAATTTTGTTTATTTTAAATCAAACAACGGCTTTAACTTGATTATTTAGAGAACATATTAAACTGATTATTATTTCAAGATAATAATAATATTTAAAAATGGTTAATTTCAAGATGATCTTGTAACTTACATTAATAGTATAATCCTAGCTCATTAATATTTCCCCATCTTTTTTATTCCTATGCTACGCTCGGGCCTGTTGAAACAAAATTCATATTAAGAGACCTGTTACTGTAGCGAGCCAAAATGTGGTTCCTTCAGCTAACAAACAAATATTTGAAAATTACTAAGCGGGGAGGGTGGGGATCTAACAGGCCTGACCTGCATATCGACCTAAATGCTCCAAATATTGTTATATCTATTTTGTATTTTTGACGTGAGAACTCAGTCGTGTAACCAGGGCTATCATATCGGTCATACATACTAAAGTATGGCTATCTGTCTACAACTGGCTCCTCTTGAGAACAAACACAAAATTGGATAGGCAACATTTTAATTACTAAGCATACTTCAAGAATTTGACAAATCTTTATCCACTTATGAATAAAGTAATCGTTAAGGTTTATTTAGTTTTTGTGTGTATGACAGATGTGAAACGGAGTAGAACCGCATTACAAAATAGTATATTAACTTTTGGATATGGTGGCCATTCAGGGCAGAGATATATTCTTGGGATAAAAGTTTTCACAAAGTGTTGGCCCTAGTTTGCATTCAAAGATATTTATATAGATATGTTCAATTTTCTTTTGCTCCAAACTTACATTTATTTTGATATTCTTTATCTATAAATTTATCATTTTTTAGTCCATGATATGATATTCATTTTTATTATTATAACTTTTTTTCATTTTACATACATTTATTCTGTGTACCCTGTCTGTATAACTAACTTTTCCAAACATTTTTTTCTTAATTTTCTGATCTACCCTGAACTTGTGGTTGTCATTGATTATAATACTTTTGTCCAAAATCCTACTTAACTTGATAAAAAAAATAAGCAAAGGTCTTTCCTGCCTTACGTTTTCATGTAAATTTTAGCTTTAGAAGTTCTAAGTTTTAATGCAGATTTGGCTCTGTAAAAATACATATATTAAAGATTTAAATGTTAAGTCCAAAAAAGGGTTATTTTTAGCTTAAGAGTGTAGTCAAAATAGAGTTATTTCCCTTCACAGGCAGTTTATCATAGTTACTGGAAATTACTGTATATTTAGTTATACAATGTAGATGCTTTTCAATAGTTAATATTGCACTATAATTGTTATTTAATGAGAAAAAAAACGGTTTGGAATTTAAGACAAGTTATCTCCCTTTATTTTGTTAAGAATTAATCTATAATTTAAGCATTCTTATGATATTCTAATATCAAGTTAAATTTCACCAAAAGGCCTATAGACATTGTTCCCTTTAATTTTTAGTAGTCAATGTTCACAAAATTTTATTGTATAAATTTTATTCAAGTGACAATAAAAATATGTGAGTAAGATATTTGTACAAATGTAAACTTGAAATTGTTTTAAGATAACTTTGGCACAGCCTATATCTTATGCCTGATAAAACTGTATTGGCAACAGTGACCCTTTTTAGGGTGATGTGGCAGTATCTCAAAACCAGAATGTGGCCTAGGATTAGTGCACATATATATATATACATTAATTAATTAATTTCCAGTGTGTGTTCATTGCAAAATGTGTGTGTACGCAAGTATGCACAGATTAGAGGGAACAGTGTCTATAAGCTAATTATACATGTCTATTTACAACAACTATTGACTTTCACTTTAATTATTCGCAGGGCATGCTTGCAAATAAAATGATTTTGGAATGTCTCTTGAAAATATTATATTAAAAGTTATAAGTATATATAGCCAATAGATGTTCAAATATAAATGTTGGAGTTGTCTACCCATTGTTAAGAATTTAGTTTAAGTTGGTAGCCAATAGATGTCCAAAATCAACTTTTTAAATGCTAATAATGATAAAAATAACTTTGATGTGTAATCAACGTTAGCGCTGGAATTGTCTCCCCTTTGTTAAGAATTTAGTTAAAGTTGGTAGCCCTGAGATGTCCAAAATCAATTTTTTAAATGCTGCTAATAATAAGAATAACTTTGATGTGTAATCAATGTATAACTGAAGAAGATATAAGACATTGATTGTTGACGATTTGTACTGATGTTAGTGAGATAATGAATTATGTATGGTAAAAAAAATTAGGAGGAAATTTGCTTTGTTAGTTTCCTATATATGCAATATAAAAAAAAAGAGGAAAGTAAGGGTAGATAACTTTTAATACTTTTCGAATGAGTTATTTCCCCTTATGGTGTTTAAAACCATTCCACTGCTATCTGTGATGATGTGATGAAAGTTCACTATTTATTTATTGTCAGTATAATAATAACGACAATTGTATATTTTGAAAAGATAAATAATAATATATTTTGAAAATCTCAAATGTGTGTTTGTTAATTGATTGACTGATATACAAAAAGGGGGGTTGGATGGCCGAATGGTTGGAACGTGCGTGCTGTATCATAAGGTCTGTCATCGAGTCATCTGGCGTGGTTTCGATTCCCCGTTTGTACGTGACAAGGAATAGTGTCGTCTGTCCAACTTCGTGGGTTTTCTCCGGGTTCTCCAGTTTCCTCTCACTGCTAAAGACTCCTACGCGCAAGCGAATTATTGAAATAAAATGTTAGTCCCGAAATGACCTAGTTTGTGTCGAGTGGACGTTAAACCCCATATCTCTCGATATACAAAATCAGAATTGAAGTTTAACGTCTTACTTTTCACAATGTCTTGGCTAATGAAGACAGGTTTACGCCATACAGTGTGCTATGAGGGATACTTCACTCAGACAGGGGCACTATGGCCTACTCTTATTATGAATAATAATTCCAAATGTCAAGGAATCTTTTAGGCGCACGCAAATATGAATACGGGACCTCAGTTTCTTCGTCCCATCCAAACAGCTAGATAATGTCTTTCCCAAGCCCTCCATCCTGCACCACTGACCAGGGAGTGAAACTGAATAGCGAGCCAGGGTCTTACTGAGCGACAAAAAAAATAAATTCAAGTGAAAATTAGAAACACAATAAGTCTTCCAGGGGGCAACAGTTAACTTACTTATGATTGGAAAGGACACTCCACCACCATGGCCAGCACATTGTTGGGGAAGAGAGAGATAAATGGGATTTCACATCCACTTGACACAAACCATGTATTTTTGGAAGTAACATGTGGTTCAGTTATATTTCAATAAATCGCTTGCACCCAGGAGGAAACCAAAGGACTCCAAAAAAACCCCACAAGATTGGACAGGCGACCCTACTCCTTTTCACTACAAGCGAGAAATCGTAACCATGTCAATGACAGACCTTAAGATCTAACGTGCACATCTCAGACCCCCCCCCCCCCCCCGCCAAAATAATAGGATACACCACTGGCTGACAATATATCATCAAGTGCCAATTTAAGACAAGTGCAACCAGTGAAGACCTCAGGCGTGTGTGTGTAAAGGGGTCAGTTCACGCTGAGGAACGGCACATTGTGGGTGCAAAGGGGAGGTGAAGCGGGTGTTGGGGGTGGGGCGGTTTATAGCAAACACAAGGATCACCGGGCAGCACAACACATATCACCAATAACCAATCTTCCAATACTCCGAATATACTTCAGATGAAGCTAACAATTTAAGACAAGTATAGTCCTCATTGATGCAACCAGTAGCGTACCTTAGACTTATGTGTGGAGGGGGGTCAGTCCACGCCAAGCGGCACATTGTGGGTGCAAAGGGGAGGAGAAAGACGGGGGTGGGCAAATGCAAGTATCACCGGGCGGCACAACACATGTCACCAATAAAACAATCTTCCTATACTCCGAATATGCTAACAGCACTGCACTGAATATTCCAGAAGGAGTAGGAGACAACTGCCTGCTGGGGCCCCAATGTAGGATATCTCTTAGGAGAGTGGCACCTGTTATTTGTCTTGTGGGAGACATCTCACCAGATATACTAAATTCAGAATAATAATAAAAAAGTATTTACAATAATTTCTTTTATTGAAATATTTCCTGAAACCACTTTACATGCAAGTCTGCTTTATATTTAAGGGCAGCTGTAGCCTGTGGGAGGGGCGCAACTTAAACCAGCATAAAGCTGAGCTATGGTGACACAGGCAGCAGCAGTGTTCCCAGAGCAATAAAAGTTCAAACAGTCTCGGTAAGCCGAATAAATTGCTGTTGATGGTAAGGATGCTGCAGCAGCACAGGTAAGGAAGGCGGGATTAGGGAACAGAGCTCCACAGCCATTCTGGATACTGGTAGCACGGGCTAGCTGGCTGTCTGTGGCACAATTTGGTAAGGCAACGATTGTCTTCAGGCTGCTACATACAGCTCCTTCTGGTGTTGTCCTGCAAAAACGGAAATATAATCATAAAACTTCTAAACATGTCAGCAGTTAATACAAATACATTTTTCCTAATCACGTTATAATTTTATTCTGTGGAGGACTCAAGCTCTTTAACACTTGCATATGTCTAAATGCACGGTTCTGCACTGCACCGGACATAACAACTACATGAAAACCTATAAGACAAACACACGGGGCCCCTGGCTGAAAAAGTATCAACAGTGAAAGGGGGTTATATTCAGGTCATTGTCCATCACACTGTATGTCAGTATGGTAGATACATAGGTTTATTTGGCACAAACATATACAACGTGATAAATGACTTTTGGGGGCCCAGTCAGCCTCCCTTTAATCCCTTCCTGGTTGTAAACTATAAGGAATTATTTTTTTTGAGTTAATGTGGTGTTGCGATGATTTAATAAATATGAACCCAAAATTAACTCACGCTTGTTGGTCTGCTAAGTTTCTGAGGGAGAACGCAACGTCACGTTCGGCTAGTGTACGACCAGTTGAGAACGGTGGTGGAATATCATTAGGCATACCATCACAATTACCACACAGATTAGGAAGGAAACCAGACCCTACTTTAGGAGCTGCTAGAGCTGTAGCACCATTAGGCCGGAAGTTAACTTTGGTGTCACATTGTGGAAGAACGACAGCTGTTAGTCCCGGGGAAGAGATGTCCGATACAACAATATTGGTAGCATTCGACTGAAATGAAGATTGCAACATATGTTACTAATGTCAATTAATATAGCAACAATCCTGTTAGATAAGAATTGGTTTAAAGAAAACCAGATCGAGTCGCCTGGATATCAACTTGCCTCCCAAACTCAGTTTGAGTGGGTTATTATTAGCTACGAGAGCCTACGAGAACGTAACTAAAAACGCTGAGATATACTGATGTGCTTGTTTTTAGCTACGATTGGATGCCTTTAGTTCCAAGTGGCAAACTCAATTTCTTTATTAATGTATGTACCATCTTAAAAATAAGTTAATTTTATACTATTGGTACTTATTACACATATGCAGTCCAATCTACTGAAACAACATTCATTTATCAGCAAATATTGACAATAAAGTAAATCAAGCGATGTTTTTATCAAAATTGATTCGGACGTTGTGATTACGGCGTATTACTACTGCGCAACTCTGTTCAGATTAGGACTTTGATTGGCTATTGCACACGAGGCCCCGCCTTTATGTGTTACAGATGTAAATTTAAAATGTCGGAAAAGCAATCTTCTGTCGCTTTGATTTAAAAAGAGGGGATTTGTACCCGTTTCAGGTAGGATTATATGCTTAATTGTAGTTGGGTGTGGCAGAAATATTATAAATAACAATAATGAGTCGTTGTTTTGATTAAAAATATTGTCAATTTTGTTTACAAATGCCGGGTGCGAATCGCTTCCGCATGTGCTACGTTGATGTCAATAGCACCATTTCTTATCTCGCAACACGGAGGGTGGAGAGATAAAATTTGTTATCTAGGTTATTATGAGAGTAGAAAAGGATTTGAATGACATTTTATGGCATTATAGATGGGAATTTGGTCAACATGGTGCATAACTGTCTAGGGTTCTTTTATATAAGCACACCTAGGTGTACAGGGGGGTGGGGGGGTGGGGGGTGGATGGCTGAATGGTTAGCGTGCGCGCGCTATATCATAAAGTCTGTCATTGAGTCGACTGGCGTGGTTTCGAATCGCCGGTTGTACGTGACAAGGAGTAGGGTCGCCTGTCCAACCTCGTGGGTTTTCTCCGGGTCCTCCGGTTTCCTCCCACTGCTAAAGACCCCTACGCGCAAGCGAATTATGTAAATAAAATTAAACCATATGTTACTCCCGAAATGACCTAGTTTGTGTCGAGTGGACGTTAAACCCCATTTCTCTCTCTCGCTCTCTCTCTCTCTCTCTCTCTCTCTCTCTCTCCAAGGTGTACACGGGATCTCCTATTTTTCAGTCATTGGGTCAACTGGCTTGGTTTCGATTACCTGGTAGTACGTGACAAGGAGTAATTCGCCTGTCCAACCTCATGGGTTTTCTCTGGGTTCTCCGGTTTCCTCCCACTGCAAGCGAATTATTGAAATAAAATTAAACCATGTTAGTCCCGAAATGACCTAGTTTGTGGCGAGTGGACGGTGAATCACGGTGAGAAATGTTAATTGGATTCTGTACGTACCTGAATACCGACAGGTGTGAGATATACCGTCTGTGACACACCTGCTAATAACACGGTTACGGCCGTCCTGGTAACAAGCGCTTTATATGGTTTTCCGGCAGGTTCCATGGTTTCTGCGACAACGGTAACGAGACAACCACTAGCCGTAGCGTAGATAGACAGGACATAGTTACAGGGTAGAACCTGAGTTGTTCGGCCTCTACCATCATAGAATATGGTATGGGGGTCACCAAACGATGCACAGACACATTTAGTTGCTGAAAAAAAAAGAAAATATCCTATAACAAGAACGTAAAGGAGATAATTTAATACCTAATTGAAATTATTTCTTGATATTCTGTTTTATGGTTTGCAGCCTATGGAGGGTTGATACTCAGGCTATGCTCTAGAAAGCACCATTTAGAATCAATTTTTCAAAATTATAACTCATGCTCTTTAGGATTTTAAAGAGAAGTTTTCATACTTACCAGCTGGTTCACACATAAATCTACCTTCTCCTGTAAACCCTGGATTGCATCTACATTCGTTATCTATACATGATGCATTCGGTACACAAACAGCTCCTTGACATAAGCCTGAAAAATTATCAGAGGTATCAAAAGTTCTAGAACGAAATGAAATGGGGTTTAAACTTTAACTTAACGCCCTTCTTAACGCTAAACAACCACATTTTATATGGAAAACAATCACTGGTTTGTACACATATAATATCACGACGTTTTGACAAGTGTTCTCTTATCGTTATCAAACACAAGTCATTATTTGATTATCGAAACGCTGTGCTATTATATGTGTATAAACCAGTGATTGTTTTCTATATAAATTGTGTGTTCGATCCCTGCATTGGCCGAGAAAGTTCATCCAGATTTTCCGGCGTGGTTCCCCCTTGTCAGTGATGCAGGACGGAGGACCTGACAAGGACAGCTGTCTATTCTTTCGGATGGTACGAAAAACCGAAATCCCGTGTATACATTGGAATGCACGTAAAAGATCCCTTGGCAGTTGGAATTCGATATAAGAGTAGGCGATAGTGCCGCTGCCCGGGCAAAATTTCCATCATAGCACACTGTATGGCGTATGCCCGCCTTCATTAGCCCAGAATAGAAGCAGAACAGTAGGACGTTAAACCCCATTTCATTTCATTTCATTTCATATAAATTGTGATGTATTGTTTTTGGGTTGTTTTTTTTTGCGTTCAATCGCTACATGCCACTCAAAGATTATAAACTATTATGCTGTCTTGGGCTTTTTTCAAAGAGCATCACCTCCAAGAAGAAGAACAAGAAGAACAGAATGAATGAGCAGTGCTTGGGGCCATTGCGGTTCATGTCCATCTTCATTATCCTAGTCAGAGCAGAACAATAGGACGTTAAACCCTATTCCATTTCATTGCATTAACTTACCATATACATTATCCAAATACAACAATGTAAGACACAGGAATGACAGAAGCATATTAAACCTCATCGTTGAAACCAGTGAGAAACTAAATCAATTGTACTACATGTTATGATCTTATATAGATTCACCGTTAATCTCTTGTTTAATCCCTGTAATAGTTTAATCTCTTGCTACAAACACTGTAATCCTTCTCCCACTGGGAATCAGATCCCATATCAATGGCATTCATATTTTTAATCCGTGCCCCTGTGATGTTTTATTGCACCAGTTAATGCTGCACACTATAAAAGTGGCTGGAGAGAAGGAGAGACATGGGTTTAACGTCCACACAAAACAAAACGGGCCATTTCGGGACTAACATATGGCGAGTCTTTATGTTTATTTATCTAATTCAATTTGCTTGTGTATACGTGTCTTTAGAAGTTGGATGGAATCGGGGAGGCCTGAGATAATCCATGTGGTTAAGCAGAGGACATTATTCCTTAGCTGGTTCCCCGTTGTCAGTGATGCAGGACAGAGGCCTGACAAGAACAGCGGTTTGGTCGTTCGAATGGGACCTAAAACCGAGGTCCCGTGTACACATTGGCGTGCACGTAAAAGATGCCTTGATAGTTGGAATTCGATATAAGAGTAGGCCGTAGTGCCGCTGTCCGGACAAAATTTCCCTCATAGCACACTGTATGGCATATGCCGTCTTCATTAGCCCAGTTCGGAGCAGAACAGTAGGACGTTAGGCCCCATTTCATTTCATTTTCATTTTCATTTATTCCTTAGACACGTACAAGCTTGGAATCGGAACCACGTCACTCAAAGACAGTCATTATGATCTATAGAGCACGAGTTAGTTAGCCCTACACCGAGCCTCCCACCCTCACCCTCACCCTCACCCACCAATGTGCTGCGAGTAATAATTATGTCCGGAAAGCTGTGCAACGCCCTAATTTTATTTCTAATTCCAACTGCCATACGACTGGGCGCTCCTCTTTCCCGGGCCCTCCATCTTGTAACACCGACATCGAACACGGATCAGTGAATCGGCTTCATGGCTTTAATTAACATGTTCCATGCAGATAACTTCCCCGACTGGTGCAAGTAGGCTATAATACACATCGTAATTCCATTATTATGATGAAACATCCTTGCAAGTGTCGTCAAAATCGGTTATAAATTACTAACTATTTACAGAAAATCTTTGATACATTCAAATAAGTTCCATTAAATTTGATTTTGATCCTGTCCAACTTATCCACAAGGTTTACAAGTCAAGGACAATAACTCTGACATTATTCATCATATATCACGGTCAGGCCCGTAGCCAGCGGGGCCCAAAGGCGGGGGGTATTGCCCCCTGAAAAAAGTCCTCCCCACCTCTCCCGAAAAAAAAAGTTGCCGACCATAGCTCTAAAATACCTACTGTAGTCTGTGCACCCCCCCCCACCCCCCCAAAAAAACTTCACTGCAACTCGCAGCCGGCAAACTGGCTACGGGCCTGATCACGATGAATATTTTGGTACTACTGAGGAACATTTTGTTTTGCAGATTATCACAAAAGAGTCACATCATCAAGTAATGAAATTCCTAGAACTAGCACAAATAAAATGGTGTTCTGAGCGACGAACAAGGCGGTCATGGAGACATCATTAGTGACAACAACCTTAGTCTATATTTGGACGTAAAAATTGATTCCATTTGTCTCTGTGGGTATGACGACGGATGCATGTCAAATTTTATACCAGATTCATAACTTCTTGGTGCTTGAAATACATCGTAAAGATTCTCGTGTCATTATAACATCGTATATTTTCGGATTTTTATTTTGTTTCAGAACAACAAAAACAAAATTTTGCCTGAGAGAAAATATTTATTTACAAAAAATGTAAAAATGAAACAAAATTTTGATTAATGCTTTAATATTTAAAAGGAAATCAACCAGTAAAATTCACCTTGTCATTAAAATATCTTCCAGGAAAGATTTTATCCTCGGTGAGGTATATTGCTATGCAACCCGCTGCTGCTATCGTGCAAATGGCGGCCACCCAGATAGAAACTTTATCAAGAATGTGACTGATTGCATAGAATAATCCCTGAATAACCCACACGCCCGTTACCAATTTGACTATAACGTCCATCACAAACCACTGTTTCTCGCGTCCCCAGACGTTCAGTTCCACGTCACTCAAATGCAAGAAAAAGACTAAGAACACGACCAGAAGTCCAACAGCAACAATGTTGATGATCAAGATAATATGCGCCGGAGTCAAACTTCGTAAATTTGTTCGAATTTCTTCCACGAATAACCTTAATCCTTCTTCGATTCGTCCCTGGTTGACGTACCATAGAAAGGTGTCGTGCAGTGATGATAGCTTGCTTCCTGATAAATATTGCGTTGCCTTAGCACCAACAGATGTGTAAACCTGAAACGTAGAAAATGAACAATTTCAAAAAGATTTGAGACCGGTTAAAATCGACTTCGCGTGAACCATGAAACTTCAATGGCCTAGAGCCTTGGATATAGAACCTTTAGTCTATATATTATTTTCCAAGGACGATAACCCCATTTTATTTATTGTATAAAATTGAAATATTAAGAAACCCATGTATTTGGGCTCCAAAATTGGACCCAACAAGTGTACGAAAGATTTGCATACTTGAATGTGCAGGGTACGAAGCCACGGTAGCTCAGTGCCTAAGGCTCTTGCTTACTAACCAGAGTAGTTTCCCCTTTGTCATTGATGCGATTGTCCGTCTTACGTGCAGGGTAAATAAATTTATAATCTTACATATAAATACCCTGCATCTTCTCAGGCAATATTTTTACGGACGTTAAACCCCATTTCATTTCATTTCCTTTACGCTAAGGATAAATAAATTAAAAGTCTTACAACTTCACGGCATCTTCTCGGGCATCCTATTCACCATCGTGGTATAAGCTATTAATAGGAGGTCCAGTGGCCAAAATGCCCCCATCCCTAATGGCGTGTTACTCACCACGGTATGCCAAGATATAATAAGCACCTCTCACCCTGTTATATTCCTTGCTATAAAACACAATGACGTCATTCTCACAGGCACCAAGTTTCCATGACGATCGTAGACTGTTAGCGAAGTTAGCCATCATAGTGTCAATTTCCTGGTCAGTTGGAGCTCGTGATGTGGTGTTTAGAGTTGGTTGTAGTTCATTACAATCGTTGATACAACTAATGATAGAATATAATATAAACTGAATTTAAATTTAAATTCTAGAATCGGTGGTACTTTATATTTTTTAATTAAAAGGACTAATTACTGGTGTGCATTATAGATATGCTATGTATATGCTATTTAAGACAAGAATGTGCAAAGACATCAAAAATACTAAATGTCTGGAATGTTCTTAGTGTGACTTTTAATGGTTTCTTTTTCAAATAACTAATTTCGGACAAGTTTCAATCTTTTATCTTTAATCGCGTATCTGCCTCAATACAGTGGCCAGATCTTACCTGGTGGCATCTCGTGAATCGGCCATTCTTATTCTATCAACCAGTGCGACGGCAACAATATAACTCTGTCGCTGGTTCTCACTACTCTCACATAATGTTGACGTGTTCTGCTGAATGGCGATCAATTGTTGGTTAATTTGAACAGTAGCTGAAAAATAAATAACATAGCTTCAGATCCACATCTAGATTATAAGATTTCAGAGCCATAGATCACATTCAGTGTCAATGTCCTAGATCATAAGGTTCGGATCGAAGACCACAATGTTTCAGATCAAAGATCACAAGGTTTCTGATCAAAGATCACATGGTTTCTGTTTAAAGATCACAAAGTTTCAGATCAAAGACCACCAGGTTTCAGATGATCAAAGACCACAAGATTTCAAATCAAAGATCACAAGGTTTCAGATCAAAGACCAGAGGGTTTCAGATCAAAGACAACAAGGTTTCAGATCAAAGACCCCAAGGTTTCAAATCAAAGACCACACGGTTTCGGATCAAAGACCACAGGGTTTCAAATCAAAGACCACACGGTTTCAGAACCACAGATCACAACGTTTCAGAACAACAGATCACAAGTTTTGTTGAACAAAACTATACCGATTTGTTATTCAAAAGGTGTCATAATCATTATAAAATTATTTAAGGTAATGGTTCTGTTCCTTTATGGTCGTGGGGGTTGGTATAAAAGACAGACCATTCAGTCATATGATAACCCTGGGAAAAGGGTGTTATAAACGACAACTATGTACAAACCAGTGCTTGAAGAAGCAAGGAGTCCATCTGGATCACAGATATAACCTCGTCCACTAGATACTGGTAGTCCACATCGTGTTAGATCAGCTGTTGGATTGGGGAATTTACAATGAGACCAAACCTTTTCCTTGGTTACTGGATCCACGGTGTACGTGTAACCTCTAAAATCTAACCACGAGTCCGTACAGTCTGGTAATCCTAGACAATAGTCAACGACAACCAGTATCAGGATAACAATTTTCATTGTTTTAACAAGTTGGACTAACAGTTACATATTAAGTTCTGAAAAATAAATTAAAAACATTGCTGTTATTTCAATAATTCTTTTCGGGGAAAAGATGGTGGATTTTGCGACAAACGTATGGTTACGTATGCAAGATTTTGTCTGTAAACCCCAAGTATGCTAGTCACTATGTAGTCTAAACAATCCAATAAAGTTCGAACAATGTGTGAGAGAGAGAGAAATAAGGTTTAACGTCCACTCGACACAAACTAGGTCATTTCGGGACTAACATATGGTTTAATTTTATTTCAATAATTCGCTTGCGCGTAGGGGTCTTTAGCAGTGGGAGGAAACCGGAGGACCCGGAGAAAACCCACGAGGTTGGACAGCCGACCCTACTCCTTGTCACGTACAGCCGGGGATTCGAAACCACGCCAGTTGACTCAATGACAGGCCTTATGATACAGCACGCTCGTGCTAACCATTCGACCCCCCCCCCTCGAACAATATAAATAGCCGTGTAAATATATTTACCACACTAAACTTACGTTGTCTGTTTACAATTAGTTCCGCTTGGGAACAGAAACTATGATAAATCGGCCTAATCGACTATTTTAGTCGAAAACATCGAGCATATTTCGAGAATTTTTAGAAGTATTTATTCCGCTTCCATTTAGTAAAATTGAAAACGTTTATTTAGTCTTTGAAAGATGTGAAAGCGCAAGCGAATTATTGAAATAAAATTAAACCATATGTTAGTCCCGAAATGACCTAGTCTGTGTCGCGTTGAAGTTAAACCCGTCCCCATTCAATCTCCCATACCACCTGTTACCAAAAATCCATTTTGTATTGTTCGAATATACTTTAATTGAGAACAAGTCACTAGCTGCATGCCAATGCAAGAAGCGAATATAATAGAGGTCACATATTTCCAATCCTTTACAAACAGTTCAATCAATATTTCCTTACGGTCAAGGCTTTTTATTCTGTGTTCATTTCGGATACATTGTGTGCTTTCAATCCTTTTACTTCAGTTCGTTTAAAACAAATAAGAATTACCTTTGGAGAATTTTCTTAAAAAATCTGTTTTCTTATGTTGAATTATTTTAGAGACGTTTTTGCTGTGTTCCTTTGGGATAAATTATGTGTTTGTGAATTACATGTCACTTATTCTAGTAACACAATTGCTGTGTTACTTTGGAATAAATTATGTGTTTATGAATTACATGTCACTTATTCTAGTAACACAATTGCTGTGTTCCGTTGGGATAAATTATGTGTTTATGAATTACATGTCACTTATTCTAGTAACACAATTGTTGTGTTACTTTGGAATAAATTATGTGTTTATGAATTACATGTAACATAATTATGCTATTATGATCAAACGCGTCCTATTGTATTCCTTCTTCTGTGTTTGTGTTTTGTCGGCTTTGGTTTGTGTATACTTTATGACGTATGGTCAACAACTAACCCCGAGGCTTAAAGCCGCAGAAAGTCTCGGAAAATTGATAACTCCAATTCAAAAGGAAACCACTCTGGGTAAATATCATCGAAAATGGAAGACGAGGATGGGACTGCAAAATGGTAACCGTTCATTGAAAACGGACGACATATCTCTGAGCAAGACAGGTGACAGGGAAAAAAGGAAACAATTAGCTCTGAGGTCTAACAGTCAAAGAACACTAAGTAACTTGATGAAACGTTCAAATCAAATGAAAAGCACTTATAAAATAGATGATCACGAGAAAATCACTTATAAAATAGATGATCCCGAGAAAGACACTTATAAAATAGATGATCCCGAGAAAGACACACATAAAATAGATGATCCCGAGAAAAGCACTTATAAAATAGATGATCCCGAGAAAAACACTTATAAAATAGATGATCCCGAGAAGAATGGAAACCATTCACTGAAAAAAGATCAAATATCTCAAATCGAGACAGATGCCGAGAAAAAATGGACACATTTTCTGGGATTAGAGAGAATTTGGGGTCGGTTGGGTAATCATATGTTTTACTACGCCTCCTTAAGAGGAATAGCGGACGCTATCAACTATACACCCATTTTAAGTAGAACAGATCCTATACTTGAATTGTTTGAAATTAATTTGAATAAATCTGTCAGTACATTGACCCTGAACAATAATGTAACGAAAAGTGAAAAATGTACAGGAATTTTTACCGAAGATCTGATTTCACCTATAAATACAACAACTAATATAACAGTTCTTGGTTACTTACAATCATTTAAATATTTCCAAAACATAGAATCAGATATCAGAAAGGAGTTTATCCTGAAAGCGGACATCAAGGCTCGGGTCAAACATATTTTTAATACATTTAACATAACACATCGAATAAAGGTTGGGGTTCATGCCAGAAGAGGTGATTTTGTGCGTTTGCAAAGGGAAGGATACAAGCTACCTACCCCTTTGTTTTTTTACAAGGCTATGGATATGCTGAGGCAGAATTTAACAAATCCAATATTTGTCATGTGTTCAGATGATAAGAAATGGGTGACAGATTATTTACAATTTAATAATTCGGTTATTGTTCATGAAAGTGAAGAAGTCGACTTCGGAGTATTAATGAGTTGTGATCATAGTATAATATCATCTGGAACTTTTAGTTGGTGGACCGCCTATTTAACGAAAGGTGCCAGCATTTATTTTAAAGGATTTCCCTCGACCCGTCTCCTTGGATGTATATCTCCTTCCGATTATTATCCATCTCATTGGATTGCACTCGAGTAATCCATTTACTTGAATTGAACTCAAAGTTGGACCCGAGTAATCCATTTACTTGAATTGAACTCAAAATATCTAGTAGCACGGACTCCACAATTCCATCTAATTGGATTAATCTAATTATCATGGACTTAAATAATTAATCTAACTGGATTAATCTAATTATCATCGATTTAAATAATTAATCTAATTGGATTGGACTATGATAATTTAGCTGGATGGATTTGCATAACATACTAAGAAAAGCACGAACTCTATGTATGAACTGCATAAGTGGTATAGAGCTAAATATGCCTACTTCAGGTCTGTTTTAGGCCTGAAATGTTTTCTAAATTATTAATTAGACATTAATTAACTTATCCAGGCCACAATCAACTCTCGATGGCATTGGATATTTCCGATATTAAATAGATTAGAACAGTTCGACCATATTTTGATTTAAGCAAAAAATGGAGGAACGAGACTTAGCTTCGAACAACCAGTAGGATGACTGAAATTATATTGCACACGTCTTGTCAAACCTTCAAAGGCTTATCTTCGTTTGCAATAGAGTAATTGGAATGACATTTTCAAATTAGTCATTTTACATTATCTATTTTCGAACTATTATAGCAAGAATTGCTAGCTCTTTATCTAAATCTTACATAATGTATCTTTAAGGCAAAGTAAACAGAAGTTGCATTACATATTTCAATGGATTAGACTAGTTTATACATTTTAGTGGAATAAATTAATTAAATCTCTGTGCGCCATTTGCATGTGTACGAAATGCTTATAATTAACATACGTTAATGGAATGGTCGATTTACCCAATTCCACCCAATAAGGGGGTGCTGTAAAATTGATGGACAATGTGTATCTAATGTTTTTATGGTCGACAATTTTTTTCGCAGGGGGGGGGGGACGAAACTTTTTGCAGGGGGGGGGGGGACTTTAGTGTGTTACGTTTAATCTGATCGGGGGACGTGTTCATCGACGTCAACGTCAACCGACAACACTGCAAGAATTGGCCATAGCACTGCAAGAGGAGTGGGTCAGATTGCCCAAATCGTGATTGGACGGTTGATTAGGAGCATGCCACGACGAATTGCTGAATGTCTGAGGATTACTCATTATTATACAAAAATCAAAAAAACGTCCATTTTCACTTTTGACAGATCATGTTAGCCCAGTTGGAGCAAAAATATAGGACGTTAAACACCATTTCATTCATTACTTGTACGTCATTTCATTCATTCATTACCTGTACACCATTTCATTCATTCATTACCTGTACATCATTTCATTCATTCATTACTTGTACGTCATTTCATTCATTTATTACTTGTACGTCATACCACTCATTCATTACTTGTACGTCATTTCATTCATTCGTTACTTGTACGTCATTTCATTCATTCATTACTTGTACGTCATTTCACTCATTCATTACTTGTACGTCATTTCATTCATTTATTACTTGTACGTCATTTCACTCATTCATTAGTTGTACGTTATTACTCAAGTGCTTGTTTCAGTATAATGAATATATTTACGGTTATAATTTATACTACGGTTATAATTTCACTATGTTTATTTTAAAGAGAAGCGATGTATTTTATTACCGGTTTGTTTACCCTGCAACAAGTTGATGTGTCTTCCAGTGTGATTAATAGACAAGGAATTTAATTTAATCGATCTATGTTAGTAGTAAATATTTATAAACACAACAAAAACATAGATGACAAAATCGATATACATATTTACATCGTTGCTTGGTGGTGGTGTCTTTGTAAAGAATAATTTATGTTGTAACCCAACTCGTCACATGTTATTCTTGTGCATTTGTATTTTAACTTTCATAAGACTATTGAACTGTCACAAGAGAACACCCCCCCCCCCCCCCCCAAAAAAAAAACAACAAAACAAAACAAAAAAACACGCAATCTTCGTTTGTCAACAATGGCGACCAAATAAAATAGAGAATGTAATTTGGATTGTATGGTCATGAAGCAATGTGAAAGAATTTTGACAGGAGAGTGGTCAGATCCCAGCTACCTGTATGGGAGAGGATTTTAACGAATAACTGAAATGAAATGGAGTTTAACGTCCTACTTTTCTGCTCCGACACAACGAATCAAGGCATGGTTATATATTAAAATAATTATGATAATAATATATCACATCATCAAATAGAAATAAATAAATTGTAAAACAATATTCTAATATCGATTAATACCACATCTACCTGTATGACGTATATAACTTACCTGTGGACAGATTAATACTACATCTACCTGTATGACGTATACAACCTACCTGTCCTGTCTAGAGGTGATCTAGTTCAATCAGTAGTAAATCATCATTGTGTATTCTGTTGCTTGGTTTCTACTTTCTATACATCCTTCATATTTAAAGTGACAAGTAGCTATAGATAATATTAGATGTGATACATGATAAATTGGTCTCGTATAATAATTATGGCGAAATATGGCCCAGTTGGTGTGGACGTGTCATTGGGTTCCATTTTTTATAATATCCTGATTTAACAAAACATCGAATTTCAATTGTCAAGGGTTCTTTTACGTGCGCATCAACCTCGCTGGTTTCTTGCCAGGTCCTGCGTCATACGCCACTGGGGAAACTCAGGGGCGGATCCAGGATCCAGGAATTTTTGCAGGAGGGGGTTTGCCAGGTTCCTGAGACAATGTATCCCCCCCCCCCACGCATATTACCTCTATCGTCATTATGGCGTATATACACGTACATTGAGCCTTTTAAACAGGGAAATTCAACATATCGTTTGGCGTCAATTTTTATTATGAATTAATACAATGACATTGTGATTCAATTACATGGGTGCAAAGCATCAATTGTGATATCACATAATGTCTATATCATTATCTCGCGCTTTGAGTGCCCATCCTGTCCCACATCTGACGATAAAGGATAAAGCACACGGTAGAGAAACTTTTCTCATAAAAAGTTTTGATTTACAAAAAATAAATTATGTAGCTGAGCAGGGGGGGGGGGTCGAACCGCCCCACCCCCTCTGGATCCGCCCCTGAAACTAGACTCGACCCCACAACCGGGGTCGAACCCTTGACGACCTGAGTAGTGTGTAAATGTGTCTTGGATCTCCTGCAAAGTGAGTAACCGAACCCTAGGGCCCGTGGTATGGTGAATCGGAGCCATACTCACTGAAAGCATATAGCTAACTATTCATATTTATCAATTTACTCCGGTGAGCTGTATCTTTAATATAGAAAATAATAATATGAGTTTTTATTAGATTATTTGGTCATAATAGACACAGTAAAATGATTGTCTCAATATATAGTCAGCTGTATTCTTATCCATATTAAAATTGGCTTAACTCAGTAAGTACTCAAAATGGAAAAATGAATTTTGCTGCACTGGGAAATATTTCACAAAATATTAGAATTGGTATTTCTATCTATTTGTCGTAGGGCGGAGGAAATAAACAGAAACAACGTGTAGTACTTCGAGTCGGGCATACAATCGAGCTTGGAACCCTTGATAGTTGGAATTCGATGACGAGTCGGCGAAAATGACGCTGACTCTGCAAAATGTCCCCCATTCCCGTCTTCATTATCCCGATAGTGCAGAAAAGTAGGACATTAAATCCCATTTTATTTCCCATTGGTCAAATATAACATTAATAGGATTTTAAATAACAATATTATTTTTGATTTATAAAAACCAAGCACTTCAATTTATTACATGAAGTTGACACATATATTCACAACTATCTCTAAACCTCCACCGACGTCCATCACTCTATCAAATTAAATTTGACTTGAAAACATATCTGTTTGAATTATATTGTTAGACACTGTTAGTCTGGGGGCTCAGTGCGGGGGGTGTCCATCAAATGGGCATAAAACCAGATCCAACTTTTCTAGAGTAAAATTTTGCGTAGAATACGATGCCGAGTGGCAACCAGTCCGCCGTTGGGGCGTTTTCGAGATATTCGGGGTCAAAGGTCAAATGGGTTCATTGGCACTGAAAGTGAATGCGTAGTCATTCTTGTATCATGAAAATAAGCTGAAAATGATCGAAAGAAATCACACTTTTAATAAAAATGTAAACTTGCTAAATTCACCTAAACTAAAGCGAAACATGTTCTAATTAATAATAGGAACTTTTAAAATCTATCTTTAGGTGGTCTTAGCGCCTAACTTTTACTTTGGAACGGCGAAAATGATCTTACATTTTTTTTTTTTTTAGACAACTAGTATCATTATGTATAGTATTCGTTTTAAAACTAATTCGGAGAGATTCTGATTTACGTATTTTTGAAACAGGTTCCGAAGCGTTTTGGTTCTGTTATGCAAGATCATTCCCCCCCCCCCCCCGCTGAGCCTCTGGTTTATGTGCATTACGCGACATGGGCACGTTTTCTTACGGTGGCTGATAAGGGACATGAAAAATAATATAATTTGTTTTTTATAATTTTCACCCAAGTCAATTTTAATTTCCACCCAAGTCAATTTTAATATAATTTGTTTTTTATAATTTTTACCCAAGTCAATTTTAATATAATTTGTTTTTTATAATTTTCACCCAAGTCAATTTTGATATAATTTGATTTTTATAATTTTCACCCAAGAATTTCCACCCAGCGCGTGACGTCATCTCAATTAGCCTACAAACAATCTACAAACAAATTCAATCTTACAACGATCGAGAGAGAGAGAGAGAGAGAGAGAGAGAGAGAGAGAGAGAGAGAGTTTAATGTCCACTCGACACAAACTAGGTCATTTCGGGACTAAAACATGGTTTAATTTTATTTCAATAATTCGCTTGCGCTTAGTGGTCTTTAGCAGTGGCAGGAAACCGGAGGACCCGGACAAAACCCACGAGGTTGGACAGCCGACCTTACTCCTGTCACGCACAACCGGGAAATCGAAACCACACCAGTTGACTCAGTTATGATACTGCGCGCACGTGATAACCATTCGCCCCCCCCCCCACGCACCACAAATAAGTGACGTTGTATAGACAAACAAACAATGGACATTATGACAGAATACTGTAAGTAGCAGAGTTTAAACTGTTAAAATTTCTAAATGGATATACTAGTATGATCAATTATCGTTCGGATGGAACGAAAAACCGAGGCCCAGTGTATAGGCGTTCACGTAAAATAACCCTATAGAAAACTAGAATTTGACTAAGAATATGCGGAATCCCCGCTATCGGGGGAAAATATCATTCATAGCAACATGCGTGGATGCCAGTCCATGCCAGTCTTCATTGGCAAGTTTAACCCAATTTCATTTCATTTAAAATACATCATGTCTCTCGACACATGTGAAATGTCAAACATAATAACCGGTTTCAACAAATTATTCTTAATTCGAGGCCAAGGCCAGGGGTTACTGAGACAATTTTGAAATTTAAAATTATGCTCGAATAAATTAATTTATCTAAAAACTGACCTTTTATAATTTATGTTAAATCAACTGTAATTCTAGACATTTACTATTTACGACATACATCCTTTAGGGATGTCAAAAGTGCAAAAAGAGATCTTGAATTTTAAAGGAAACCCTCCTTTATTTAAATTTATATTACGTAACTATGCTAAACCGACTGTAATTCTGGACGACATACATCCTTTAGGGATGCCAAAAGTGCAAAGAAAGATCTTGAATTTTAAAGGAAAACCTTCTTTATTTAAATTTATATTAGATGTTTTAATATGTTTTAAAGTTGCAATTTCATATTTTTAAGTTATATTTTTAAAATTTATTAAAATAAAACCTTAAAATAGATGGTATCTATAAACAGTCCTACCTTGTGAAAGAATAATCCTATTAATCCTATAATTCACTATTGCCAGTTGAGAAAATGGCAAAAATATCATTTTCATCTTCAAATTCAAACGTTTGAAGTTAGCTACTCCATGGTGGAGAATAGAAAACAAGGGAGGTAATTGGGGGGTGTAATTGTGTCATTATTTCCGGTGTAAATGAGTTTTAAGTGTGAGACTGACACCTATGATCGTATAATAGTGAGTTGACAACCTATTAAGCAAAAGACATAGAAATAATTATGTTTTGACTTTCTTAGAAAATATGAAATTGTAAAATAGATGGTATCTATAAACAGTCCTACCTTGTGAAAGAATAATCCTATTAATCCTATAATTCACTATTGCCAGTTGAGAAAATGGCAAAAATATCATTTTCATCTTCAAATTCAAACGTTTGAAGTTAGCTACTCCATGGTGGAGAATAGAAAACAAGGGAGGTAATTGGGGGGGGGGGGTAATTGTGTCATTATTTCCGGTGTAAATGAGTTTTAAGTGTGAGACTGACACCTATGATCGTATAATAGTGAGTTGACAACCTATTAAGCAAAAGACATAGAAATAATTATGTTTTGACTTTCTTAGAAAATATGAAATTGTAACTTTAAACTAATCTAGTAGTGAAATAAAATAAACGTCATTAACCAATAAACTATAACACATAATAGCCTATCCAACTTCGTGGCTTTACCCCGGGTCCTCCGGTTTCCCCCCACACACTGCTAAAGACCCCTACGCACAAGAAAATTATTGAAATAAAATTAAACCATATGTTAGTCCCGAAATGACCTGATTTGTGTCGAGTGGACGTCAACCAGATCTCTCTCTCTCTCCCTCTCTCTCTCCCTCCCTCATAACACATAATAAATTGTAACTGTTTGGTGGCTTAGTGAGTAAATCCTTAGCTCGCTAAACTGGTGGTCCTTGTTCGATCCCGTTGTTGGCCGAGAAAGTTCATCTAGATTTTCGGGCGTATATCCCCACCCCACCCCAATTATCAGAGACGCGGGGCAGAGGGCTTGACAAGGGTCAAAGTATAATCGTTCAGATGGAACGTAAAACCGAGGCCCCGGTGAACACATTGACGTGCACGTAAAAGAACCCAGATGGAATTTGGATTAAGAGTAAACAGAAATTTCCCTCATTGCACATTGTATGGCGTATGCCCGTCACTATAGCCCCTCCAACCTCGTGGGTTTTCTCCGGATCCTCCAGTTTCCCCCCACTGCTAAAGACCCCTACGCGCGCGCGAATTATTGAAATAAAATTAAAAACCATATGTTAGTCCCGAAATGACCTAGTTTGTGTCGAGTGGACGTTAAACCCCATTTCTCTCTCTCTCGCTCACCCCCCCCCCCCCCCTTAGGTGAAGAAAAGTAGGACGTTAAATCTCATAATTTATTGCTCTATCAAACAGATTTTGTTTATTTCTGTTTCTATGTTTACGTGTGCAATACCAGTTTGGAGAATTTTGAACAGACAGCAGCGGTTCCATCGTCGATTTCCGATATTCAAGGGTACTTTTACGTGCACTAAAATATGTACACGGTGGATCTTGGGTTTTAGTATCGTCTAAGCGACTAGGAATACGCCTAGACAATTAATATTCCATTAGTCTTTGACTTTCATTCAACATGACGCTGACTACCAGAATATTGATCGAGAATTTTCCTCTTGATTTTTAAAGTTTGTTTCCCCTTGTCAGTCATGCAGGACGTGGAGGGGGTGCTGACAAGAACAAGCCGCCTAGGCGTTCGGATACGGAAAAATCCTAAGAGTTTTACTCTGCACCTTTGACAGTTGGTACACTCCATGTCCGTTTTTTTTTTATAAACGACGTTGGTGTAGAACAAAAGCGCGTTAATCCTCGTTTCATTTATAGAAATCAGCGTATTGCATTCTGTTTATAAATATTATAATATATTGTATAGTCATACATTAATCCTCTTTCCAGAAATAACTAATTTTGAATGGGACAAAAAAAAAAAAAATTACAAATGTTGAAAACGTAATTGCGTTTTTAAGATTTATATTTATGTAATTAAGGTTTGAATTGCTGGCATTTAATCAAGTAAAACGCGTAGAACCACTCCCTGTCTTCCCCAAAGCGTAATTCAAATTACAGATTCTCTCCCCTGATGTATCAAGGGAGATAATCCATTTTTATCTGAATGAGGTCAAGTATGACTCATCTCGTGAGTGTGCGTTATATACTGGGTTAGATCTTCACGTATTACAGTTTTAAGCTAGGAGCCTGTAAGGTGTAAATCGTCGTATATTAAGGTAAGTCGTTGGGTGTTATAAGTAATATAATCATGGGGATTAACGGATTAATTTTACCTTAACAAAGGGTTAATAACGCCAGGTAGATAATGAGATTTATACACCTTGGCATCAAGGTAGAATCGTAACGGTCTGTAGACATTTGATCTTTTGCCGACAACAGACGTTGCAGCAGACAAATAGATGTTTGAATACCAGTGACAGTCTGCTAGGAGAGGACGGAACTGGAACACGCTAGTACATGTAGGTTTAGCGGTTTTTAGACATTTGTATTTTAATCATTCACTGAATTCTGTACCTAACAAAATTTTCTTGTTTTGAGATTCAATTTTTTCTTATAGACTTTTCCAATGTTTGATTTCAAATTTTGAAATATGTTTTATCGACCAATCATAACCGCTGTATTTTTTGTACTTGTTACGGTTGAGTAATTATTTATTCAGGTTTTTTTTTCTTGAACTATGAAAAAAATTATAAAAGAATAACAATGAATATGAATGACAATATAGATAATAAAAAGTTATTATCTTGAATCATAAACTTGAATCATGAATAAAAAACAATTTTTTGTTTTGTTTTTTTTTATGATCAAAGGTGCAGTGTTATGAATCATTGATCGCATGACCGAATAAGAATAAGATAGAAATTAGTTCTAGTAGTTGAAGGTGTGGTGTTTTTTTTATGAAACCACAACCCCGCATTTTATTATAATTGATGTAGGGTATACGGAACATTACGTATTACTTATATAGACTAGTCATTATTATACTTACTATACAATGAATATTCTAGACAGATGTGTGGTATACGGGGTATATACTATTATTAGTATAGTCACATGAGTGGGATATAAGTATTTAGAATATAGGCTCAGGCAGGATAGTCGACCAAAAGACTTTTACTTGTATATTTGTGATAAGTGATTTAATTATTATAAGGTAGGTTTATATATGTTATTTAAGTTTTTTCTACAGTATGGAGAGAAATGTTAACAAAAAAACTACTTCACAGAATATAAACACTGGATATAATTTTATAGAATACAATTACTGTTAATTACAGACTGTAGGATTCTTTTAGATCAAGTCGGGTCGAAATGTTGCTAAGTGATAAACAGAAATTGTATCCCATTATCCCATAAAATTGTGTTCCCTGTATTTCCAATTTAGTTACAAAATCCCATTGAAACAATTTACCCAGAGTTTTATCTTACCTTATTATACAGGAGAGGATAATGGAATTGTGAGACCCCCCCATGGCCAAATTCTACACAACAAATGGTTTAGATATATTTTGTATCGATCCATGATTCATTTCTGTTCTTTCAAAAATCTTTATGTCCTTTAAAAACATGGGACGTTATTCACTTTAATTATTTAGACCATTATCTTATCTTATTATATACATGTAGAAGAAGATAATGGAATTGTGAGACCCCCCACCCCCCACCCCCCATCCATCCGCCAGGGCCTAATTCTACATAACAAATGGTTTCAATAAATTTTGTATCGATTGATGCAGTTTTGTTCTTTCAAAAATCTTTAGGTCCTATATAAAAACATGGGACGTTATTCATGTTAATTATTTAGACCATTACTTTCTGAATTAGTTACACAACATGCAGTGTCTGGCAGGTAATCTGTCACAAACAAAGTATCACAAAAACGAAATAGTTTAAATGACATTTTAAAATTTTGAATTTGAAAATGACCTGATGAGATAAACATCTTTTTTTTATATAAAATACATGTCGAGGATGTTGTAGGCTTGTCACGCGATATTCAAATTTTCAAAAAAAGGATATTTTAGTCTCGGTAACAAAGAACTTGTACAACTGGTTTAAAGATATAAAAGCGGTCCGATTGGTTTAACAAGATGAAAGGGGAGGTGATGTCAGGTTTTACTACCTCATGTAGTGTTTAATGTCGTATTTCTTATACCAGTCAGTAGCCCACTATATATTAGTTTTAAAAAAAACATAGCCTATTTTCTATATGTTTCAATTTTCTGTGTCAATCATAATTTATACCAGTCAGTAGCCCCCGATATATTTTAAAAGAAACATGGCCTATTTTCTATATTTTTCTGTTTCAATTTTCTGTGTTAATCATAATGTGTATTTTATTATTCTATCTATGTTGTGTTCCTATATTGTTTGTTCAGTCTGGTTTTTGGTGTGTAGTAATTCACCAGGTTTATCTATTATTAAATATGATGTAATTGTCCATGATTCTCCCTTGTAGAATAATGTACCACGTATCTCATAACCAGTACCTGCGGTTTGAATTCAAGTGATCAGATTGGTTGAGACTTTAAACATTAATACTATCACTGTTCAATTTTCCCGCCTATGTTTTATTTATTTAATAGGTGCAGAAAAGTAGGATCAAGACCCCATTCCATTCATTCATTGTTTATTTAACACAAATTGATAGATGAATTTTAAATGTGGTACTGTACCATAGAGGTAATTTAGTTCAGGCGTTTTTGGTTCTTTACTATTTGAGTGGGTTTGGATGGTCTAGTGGTTTGATTGGTGTAATGTGTAACCATCTAGGTCTGTCATTGAGTCAAGTGGTGGGGTTTTGATTCCCCGCTGTATGTGACAATGAATAGGGTCACTCGTCCAACCTCATGGGTTTTCTCCAGGTCTTCTGGTTTCCTCCCACTGCCAAAAACCCCTACTGCGAACTATTGAAAAAAAATTGAAACATGTTAATCCCAAAATGACAGTGTGTGTGTCTCTCTCTCTCTCTCTCTCTCTCTCTCTCTCTCCTGTTTTGTTTTATTTTTTTTTATTCCATTAACTGTTTATATTTAAGTATCTGGGTTTTTTTTCTTATTAATTGTTAAAATCTGCTTCAGTGAATTTCTGGAAATCATTGTTGAACTATTTATTTTTTGAAAGATTTGATGAACTTAATTTTAGTTGGTTGCCTAGTGATTTAGAAGTCCTTCAACTGTTGTTTTATTAACGTAATGATAAATTAAAGTTTGTAGGTTTCGTAATTAATATAAAAAATGTCAGAGCCTGAAGATATATTTTAGAGAAATGGAAAGTAATTGAGTGTATTTAACTGAAGGCAGAATGTGTACTAGATTTCGTCGGTAGGCAGACGAAGTGACTTATCTTCCAACCGTAACCTATTGACAATAAGTCACTTCGTCTGCCTACCGACGATTTGAGTACGTAAAGATGAATCAGATGCTCAACATAACTAGATGTAGATCATTTTGAGATTTGGGTCGCCTGTCCAACCTCGTGGGTTTTCTCTGAGTCCTTCGGTTTCCTTTCACTGCTGAAGACCCCTACACGCAAGCGAATTATTGAAATAAAATTGAACCATGTGTTAGTCCTGAAATGATCTTGTTTGTGTCAAGTGGACTTTAAACCGATTAACTTACTGTACATCGGATTTTGCCTTATTTTGATTGCCCACAGACTTGTAAAATGGGGTTAGGAAACCAAAAAACAACTTACAACTTTGTGATTTTCAATTGAAAAATGTAAATCTTTATCTGCCTTATTTCACAGGCATCTTTACTAGTGGTATTAACCTAATTTTAATAATTATTGGCCCTATTCTACTTGCCCACAGGAGTCTTAAGGAGTGAGATTAACTTAATGTACCTTACATGTAAGTGGTTGTTGGGGAGCTGTGGTGACTCAGTGAGAAAGTCACTGTCTTGCTAACCTGGAGGCCTCTGGTTCGATCCTCAGGATTTTTAAGCGTGCCCCCCCCCCCTCCCCCCGTCATCTTGAATACTCGTGATTTCAAATTTTAAACCTGGATTTGACCCATATACTCTGGTGATTTTCAGTCATATATAATAATATTTATTGTGTTTATTTACATGCATAGTTTAATATAATGCAAATATTTAGAATATTTATTAAAATCAATATTTAGGTATGGTATATTTGACATATTGTATTGTGTTATTATACTGTCTGTTGGTGTCAGGTGTATAGAATAATAATAATAATAATAATAGGTAATTCATAAAAGATTTTTTTTAAAAATGGGTCAGTATTCCAGGGTAAATGTGTATTCTAAGATTCCAAGCAAAATGTTTTCTTTAATGTGCTTGTTTCCCGTATAAACATACACGGGTAAATGGAAAAAATTTAGATGAGAAAGGATCTAGTGATGGCTTCACTTATTAAGATGCATTATGTAAGATTCAGACAAAAAAATGACCGTTCTTGCTGTAATAGTTCAAAAATAGATACTGAAAAAATTTCATTAAAAAAATCGCGGGTGTTCAAATCCATTTAAATTTCAACCATCTGATGGTCTAGAGAGTTGATTATGATCTTGTCATGTTAATAAATGTCTAATTAATAGTTTTTATAACATTTGAAGCCAAAAGAGAGAGAGAGAGAGAGAGAGAGAGAGAGAGAGAGAGAGAGAGAGAGAGGAAGGGTTTAACGTCCACTTGACACAAATTAGGTCATTTCGGGACTAACATGGTTTAATTTTATTTCAATAATTCGCTTGCGCGTAGGGGTCTTTAGCAGTGGGAGGAAACCAGAGGACCCGGAGAAAACCCATGAGGTTGGACAGACGACCCTACTCCTTGTCACGTACAACCGGGGATTCGAAACCATGCCAGTCGACTCAATGACAGACTTTATGATACAGCGCGCGCACGCTAACCATTCAGCCATCAAACCCCCCTGAAGCCAAAAGAAAGACCTGCAATGGACAGATTTAGCTCTTACATAATGTATCTTTAAAGCAGATTATGCAGAAAATTGATTTTGGAAATTTAATATCACAACTAAATGACATCATTGATACTGTATAAAAAAAAAATACAATGTAACTTCCTTTTAACAGTAGTGACGTGTCATGTGATTTTCCTTATACAGAGCTGACTTCATTTGTCTAGATTTTTATCGTTCAGTATTTATTGTGGGGCAGATAAGCCGGTAGTTCCTTATTGAAGTTTTTATGTCACGATTATAAAAAGCTTTTAAATAAAGGTAATTAAAGCCTAGATTTTTCAATTGGACCATCATGTTTTAATGGTCTCATGTCTCATCATGGTCTTATGTTTAAATGGTTATCATGTTTTAATTTCAATTTTGGTTGTGTGGAAAGTTTTTTGTATGGTCACATATGCAGTGCTAGGAAAGTATAGTGAGGTTCCAGTATATGTTTAACCTCTGTATAGTGAGGTCACAGTATACATGTATGTTTAACCCTTTGTATAGTGTGGTCACAGTATATGTTTAACCTCTGTATAGTGAGGTCCCATTCTATGTTTAACCTCTGCACAGTCAGGTTCCAGTATATGTTTAACCTCTGTATATTTTTAAACCTCTCTATAGTTAGGTTGGTCACAATATATTATATTTAACCTCTGTATAGTCAACAACAAGTATATCATGAATTATTATAATTATGTGAAGTATGTGTAGACAATATGTGGCAACCGCTGTTAAACAATCTGCCAATGAAATTATTATAAAGACAAGTTAAACCATATACTATCTTCCTGTCTCAAGATAATATACCATCCTCTGTAGATAATATAAGTACATCAGCACCACCTACATGTATAAGTGCTGGAAATTTTGTTGTTGTTGTTTATTACAGATTTAACGTCCAATACAATGAATATGATATTATGGACAGGTTGATTTAATTAAATTATTTACACTTGAAAATTGTTAAAAACACAAATTATAAAAAAAAGGTCCTCGGATACCAAAAGAGAGGGCGGGTTATCTTCTCCCTTTGTCATAATAAAGTTAAAACAGGAGGTCCAACTGACTCATGTTTGGCGTCATCAGAGCGGGTAGAAAAAAACCCGCGGGGAAAAAGAGTCTGCTGGCTTTATGTGGAAAAAACACATAGCTGGACCTGTAGATTATTTACAAATTAAAAGTTTAAATCTTTTGATGGGTCTGTTTTTAATCTGATTGAAT